TAATTAAACGTGTGTGACCTTTATGAGGTTTCATCCAGGGCAGAAAAAGAAGTGGCCCTCACAGAATTTGAAGACACAGCTAAGTGAAAAAGAAATTTCTGCTTGTCCCCTACCAAATCCTATTCCCTTAATAAAATGCACACCCCTAACAAAACCTAGCCCTGGATGAAAGAATCTTGCTTTAATATTATATCATTTATTAATGTTAATTTATTCTGCTATGTGCCATGCATTGTTACAGGTTGTGAAGATACAAGAGTGAATAAGACAAATATTTGATATAAGTAGAGAAGTTTTAAAAACCATCGAGGGAAGCAGAACATTCTATATGTTGATAAAGATTTAGGTTACATAGATGAATATATTTGTTAAAACTAGAGTTCCATATTTATAGATTTTCTTTTGATGTAAAATTATGTAAGTCTTAAATATTTGTTCGCTGTGTTTTGGAAGGCAGCTGAGCTTACCACTATACCACCAGCACTCGCTGTTTGCTGAGTTTTGACAAGTGCATGATCATCACAAGCCTGCCTCCCTCCACTGTCAGCAGATAACCCTGCCTCCTACTTCACTGAGAAAATAGAAGCCACTGGACAGGCATTTCCTCAATTTATAAATGTAGCTGCAGTTATATTTATCCTTTCTTCTCCTTCTGTTAAAAGTGGGCACCATGTCCTTACTGTCATCTAAGATCAATTTCTTCCCTCAGGTTTTTTTTTGTGTAAAAGATTTATTTTTTACTGATTTATGCATACAAAGAACTGGGGTGTAGGCCAGAGGTGCGGGAGTGAGAGGATTCACCAGAGACAGAGCAGGGAACAGAACAGGCAGATCTACTGAAATACACTGCTGAGGGGAGCAGTGGGAGGGACAGGAGAGGTCTGCCTCACCATGTGGGTTGACTCCCTGGCTGGGGATCCAACTCATGTTGCAGTGCCTGGTGATCGCTTGATAGTGCTGAGACTTAACTCCTGGGCCACCAGGGAGGCCCTCTTCCTCCAGTTTTTGCCTCTATCTGCTCCAGTATTGCCCTATTAGATTATTCCTCTCATCCTGAACTCTCATTTCAAGGAATGAGCTTTATTCTCTTACCTCAGAGTCCTAATACATGCCATTTCCTCTTGAAATAACCTTCCTACTTCTTCACTTATCATGACTCCTGCCTGTTCTCAGGTCTTTGCCTAGACCATATTTACTTATGGACCTCCCTGGTGGTGCAAGGGGTTAAGTTCCTGCACTATGAAGCTACAGGCAGCCACTGCAGCAATCCCGGCGAGGGAGCTACCCACATGGCGCAGAAGACCTCTCCTGGCTTGCCTTCTCCTCCCCTCAGCAGTTTTATTTCCATGGATCTGCCTGTTCTGCTCCCCACTCTGTCTCTGTGAATCATCTCCCCACTCCCCTCCCTTCTCTGGCCTACACCCCAGCTCTTATATGCATAAATAAAAAAAAATCTTTTTAAAAAAAAGAAGATATTTACTTAGATATGACTTCCCTGACTTTCCAATCCATGTCATGGTCGAACATATTGAACTTCCTTTTCATGATACTCCACTCACTATAATTATGTGTTCTTACCCACAAGACAAACATGGTCGTGAGCTCACAGTATCTTAATTTCTGTATCTTACTTAACATAGTTCTTGGCACATCAAATATTTGTTGCTGAATAAAATAATTAATAATTAAAAACTCAATCATCTGGGCCTCCCCTGGTGGCGCAGCAGTTGAGCTCTGAGCTGCGAAGCTGCACACAGCCTCAGCAGCACTGGTTCGATCCCTGGCCGCCGGGCGAGGGTCCCACATGGCAAGCAGACCTCTCCTGCTGCCCGCTGCTCCTCTCAGCAGTGTACTTTGTCACTCTGCCTGTTCTGCTCTCCGCTTTGGCTCTGGTGAATTCTCTCACCCTCCTGCGCTTCTGACTGTACCTAGTGCTTCTGACTGTACCTGCGCTTCTGACTGTACCTAGTGCTTCTGAGTGTACCTAGTGCTTCTGACTGTACCTAGTGAATAAATAAATAAATCTTAAAAAAAAACAAACTAATTTAAAAAAAAAAAAACTCAATCATCTGTATAACGTAGTATTTTAAAAATGTCTTCTTTTTCTTCATAGCTTTTAGTTCTTTATTCTAACAGCTCTAACAGCTATTGCAATCTTTTCTGGGATTATGTTAAATAAGAGTGGTATTGTGATATTTTGTTATAATTTCTTATAATTCTGTTCTTAAAATTTTAATGCCATATATAGAGAGAGAACTATTTCAACAATAACTATTTCATAGTTATAAAAATCCTATAATGTGTAAATATCCTTGGAAATCTTGTATTTCAAATTCCTCAGGTCATTCCTTAGGAGAAAGAAAACCAGCATACTGTAGGATTTTAACAAAGTGCATTTTATTGCGTTATTATTATCTTTTTACTCATGGGGGTATTATATGGCTATAGCCCACCAGTGGAGAGACAGTCTGAAAACTGGGAGTTCTTTTTAACTTTCATTTGTGAAGGAGGATGATCATCTGCTAGTTTACATAACTACATCTTATAAATAGCTTACTTTCTCTGAGCAAACCTAAATTCATTCAGCATTCATTGATAGACAGCAAGGGCATGACATTACATGAACTGCTCCAGTATGAAACAGTCCTGCATACATAGACGATTTAAACACAATTGAATTGCACATGTGCAATTTAACCACAAACCTGTATACACACATATATATTCATGCATACATATATTTTTATAAAATTTTGAATAGGCAAAGAGCTAATAAAACTAAATAAATGAGAGATCTCTGTATACAAATACAAATTTCTCTTTAAAAGTAAAAGTTTCTCTTTATGAACGGTTGTCTCTACTGTTTTGATTAAAGCCCTTTTTTTAAAGTTTATTCAAGTTTAACTAATCAATTACCTAGTATTATACACTTGGTTACCTTTCTCTTTCTCATTTCTCTTCTTTTTTTTTAAGATTTTATTTATTTGTTTTTGCATAGAAGAACTGGGGTATAGGCCAGAGATGCAGTGGGTGAGAGGATTCACCAGAGACAGAGTGGGGAGCAGAACAGGCAGATCTGCTGAAATACACTGCTGAGGGGAGCAGTGGGTGAGACAGGAGAGGTCTGCTTTGCTATGTGTATCCTCTCTCTAGCCAGGGATTGAACTCAGGCCACCGCTGTCATGCTGAGTGTTAACCACTAGGCCACCAATGAGCTCCCTTACTCATTTTTAAGCTAGTAGCTGACTCTCATATACAAAATAGCTCCTTTCAACAGGTCAAAAGACATATCAATTAAGTATAGTTAGGGGCTTCTAACAACCTAGACTAACCAGGAAAGGCAATTCAAGTCTTGACTGATGTCTCTTAAAGGATGACAATGAAAACTTCTTAAAATTCTCACAATGGAATTTACTCAGCAATAAAAAGGATACTCATGGCATTCACAGCAACATGGATGAAGCTGAAAGGGATTGTGCTCAGCGAAATAAGTCAGAAGGAAAAGGATATCAGATGATATCACTTATAGGAGCAATATAGGGAAACTGAACAAAGGGTAAAAAAAAAAAAAAGCCAAAACTATAGGCAACTACAGATCTGAGGCTTAAAGCAGAAGAGGGGGAGGAAAAGGGATCAAAACAGGGGTGCAAAGAGCACAAGGGACCATGGTGATAGTTACAGGTGATGTGGTGGTGGGAGATTTCTGTGGACTACACCTGAGGGGAGAAATCAAATACTGTACACAAATGAACAGCAATGTAAAAATATAAAAGGGGAAAAAAAATTCTCTCCCTCTCCCCTCCGTGAATCTCCACCCCAGTTCCCCAAACAGCAGTCCTCTCTAATCTTCTTTCCTTAAGTATAATTTAGCTTATATAGCTTTTTTCCTCCTCACCTTGGACCTGACAAGCAAGCAAGAACTCCTGCAGATTGTGTGAGTGTTGGTGGGTGTGTCTGTCTGAGATGTTCAGAGGGAATCTGCCATGCTTACTTATCCAAAGTCCAGTTTTGCGACAATCTCTTTCCTCAAGTAGCTAATGAACTGGAGATAAAAGGAACAATCAATGAGTACAATGGAAAAATCAACATACCAGAGCATATAATTATCTCTTGGGCAGTGTGACACAGACTCTGGATAAAATTAGAGGTTCTTTAAAGGTGAAATCAGTCTGGCAGTGAGCCTGGAAGTGGGTGGGCATGAACCTAGAGGATGAATTACCTCGTCAATATTTGTGGCGACTCCTGACTTGGTTTCTCTCTGGTTGTCCTAATGTGGTATTTTGCTTTGCACCCATGCCTCCCATTAATTGGGTAACATAAGGAAAGATCATATGCATAGCAGGCAGCTGAAGTTTCTCCCAACATCACTAAGAGATGGTTTGGGATAACCAAGCTGTTTCTGAGGCCCCTGGACACTGGAATTCGGTGTTCTTAGGCCCTGCATGGCCCGCCTCCAGTTTAACATTGTGGGGGGCGGGGTACAGCGCAGTGTGGGGACTCCCTGTTGGCACAAGGGTGTAAGCACCGCAGTATGAATATGTCAGTCAGCAGCACGAGTTCAATCCCCCCGCTGTCCAGAGAGCTACCCTCATGGCACGGCAGACCTCTCCTGGCTCACCCGCTGCTCCCCCCAGCAGTGTATTTCAGTCCATCTGCCTGTTCTGTTCCCCACCGTGTCTCTGGTGAATCTTCTCCCCCTCACATCTCCCCCACTACCCCCCCCCCGCATCTCTGGCCTGTACCCCAGTTCTTGTATGCATGGAGAGCTAGCGCTTTAAAAACAAAGCGCAGTGTGTTTAGGGGTGCAGCCTCCAGGCTGGTCAGTCCAGGTCTCCACCGCCACGGGCGCCGCTGTCACCCCGCCCACCGGCCCGCGCCCCCACTCCCCGGCCGGCCCCTCCCCCGCCGGCCCCGCCGCGAGCCGCCATTTCCGAGTCCGCCTCGCGCCATTTCGGCCCCGCTCGGCTTCCGTCCCAGATGATCCCTCCCCGAGCCTGCCACCGCCCCCTCCGCCTCCCGGAGCTGGAGCCGCCTCCTCGGCCAGTGGCGTAGCCGCGTCGGGCCGGGCAGACAGGGGCTGCGGTCCGGAGCCGGTCTCCGCCGAGCCGGGGGCGATGGAGAAAGCGGCCCGAGGCGCTCTCCTCTCCGACTAACGCGGGCCGTCGCGGCTGCCGGCGCCATGGACCGAGCCCCCGCGGACCAGGTACGCGCCGGGCCGGGCGGGCCGGGGGCTGGGGCGGCCGCTGTGCCCGGACGGGCCCCGGTCTCGAGGCTAGGCCCGGCCGCGGGAGTCCTGGGGTGCCGCGGGCCCGACCCCCCTCGCCGGGAGCCCGCGGCACCCCGTTCTACTGCATTGTTCCAGATGCTCCTCGGGTTCGGGGGCTTTTCCAGTCCCGGGTACCCCCCACCCCACCCTACCCCGGGATGGGGACTCGCCCTGCCCTTCCTCCCCGGCTCGGGGGAAGGGGAGCCCGACTCCAAGTTGTCGGTGCTTTCCCGAGGGTTTGTAACTTTCAGCGAATTTCCTGCCCCCCCCTAGAGCCCCCCCTTTGGTTCTGGAATGTGTTTTCAAGGTGGAAAAGCTTTTGAAGCGTCTCAGCCCGAAAGACCGTCAGGGAATGTGTGCTAACTCAGATGGAGGGTTTGGGGGTGCCGGGTGTTTGGGGGTGTCACGGGCCTTTGCGATCGACGTTCCTTCCATTGAGAGGATTGTTTTTGAAATGGTTTTCGGGAGATGTCCCCGTTAAAATGCAAACTATTACGGTTTCCACTTGGTCTTCTGTGCAATCTTTTGCAAGAAAAATTGTGTCTTTTTTCGAATTGACCTAGTGTTGTTCGGTTGTAGCCCCTGAAGCATGAATTCATTTCCGAGATCATTTTCATATTCTTAAAATAGTCCTATTCGTCTTCTATGTCGTTTTTAATTGCATCCAGTTTTTGGTTATACAGGGATGATGACAGTTAAAAAGCAATATGAAATCATAGTTGTTTTCCCTGAAAGTCTCAGTATTTTCCATTCTTGAGACGTCTAAGAAGCGACTTATTTAAATAAATTCGAGGTTTGTTCACTATCCATTTCCTTTTTCAGTTGCAGGCCTTGCCTAGTGTAGAACTAGGCAAATAGATAAAAGGACAGACTAGTGATTTGCCTAATTACTTTGCAGATGGATGTTTAGCACCTGAATAAGTCAGGCAAGATTTCCCAAATTCCTGTATGTGTGGTTAGTCAGAGTTTTGATTTTGAAAGCAGGCAAAGCTTGTTGCTAGTTGTGGTTTTTTTTTTTTTTTTTTAAATCTTAAAATTTAAAACTTTATGTGACTATGACAACACAAATGAGTTTATGAAAACATACATGGATTTACCAGAAAAATTATTTGGAAGCTTTTGGTAAATATATACAGACTTCCCTGTAATTGGGAATATTCTATATACAACTTAATTTAGAAACTTTTTTTTTTTAAAATTATCTTTCACATATTCCAAAGCCTGGCAAATGAATAGGAAATTTTCTTGGATGACTTTTGTGTGTGTGTGTGTGTGTGTGTGTGTGTGTGATTAATGAAAGGGTTAAAGATTTTGGTCCTTCACCATGATGGCCAACAGGAACCAGTAATGATACCGTATGTATATTTAAGTTTCCTTTCATCCTAGAGGAAATGTAATTAACTACTTAGATGGTAACCTTTAGCATAGCTATTTGTGTGTGATTATCTTGACTGCTATGAGTGCTATGACCAAGTTATTTAAATGTAAAGTCTTTTCCTCTTTCATCCTCCAAGATCCACGACTATAACCTTGTAGAAATGGAAGGATTAGAAAAAATCATGAGAGTAGGTTTTTTTATTGAAGAATTTTTCCTTCAGTAACTTTTGGCCTCTTCCCAGCCTAACCTTAAATTAGAGAATAATTGGAACCACCTCCTCTTCCCCTACGTTGTCATAGGAATCTAACAACCAGAAAAGTTATGCTACTTTGCCTAAGTCCGTGTGGTAGCACTTTAATTCAAGGATCCATCTATGACCTGCAAGGAGTGTGCTTCATTTTATATTAGCATTTTCTGTTACTTGTTACTTTCATCATATCTCAAAGGGGTCTATCATTGGAAAAGAGGCTGAAAACCATTAACTTAATGGTTTGTGTTACTGGGCTAGAACTGAGATATCTCGACTGTGGAGTTTTGAGTGTTCCACTATATCATAACTATATTATGACTTTTCTTGGTTAGTTGGAGTAGCTTTTATCTTTTTACTAATGAGGAGAGCTTAGGTAGGTAAAAGACACGTAAAAATATGTGATATGTGCTGGATTTCAGTTTTTTCCTCATATTTTTCTTTTCATTTAAGCCAGTGTTAGTGTATATTCAGAGTTTCTGGGAGTGCCTAGAACTTAAAAAAAACAACAAACTTATGATACTGTAGTGGTTAGCATTTCATAGAAGTTTGTGCATTTCCACTTGAAATTCCTGGAGTATTGCACAAGTACAACTTAAAAAGAAAATCTAAGCATATTTTGCCTGAAGGCACTCATGTTGCTGTTTTCTTTAAAAAAAAAAAAAAAGCAAGTCTTTGTGTAAAAACATAAATTGTGTATATGTTGATCAAGATTATAAAAGTAAGTTACTGGAAATACTGTACTGAGATTGACAATCTTAAATGACTGCTTGAAAGATTGTTATAAACAGAAGAGAACTTCAGGCATATTCTCTTTTAGCAAGGTTGTGCTAAATTAAAGCAAATAGCTTGATTTTAACTGCCAGAGTTAAAGTTTTAAGAAGAGGTATTTCCTGATATAATACATTTTTTGTGGTCCTTAAAAAAAGCTGGTGTGAAGGGAAGAGAGGAATAAATTTCGGAGTTCTTTTTGTTTATAAAGGCATAGTTTTTCTATTTTTAGAACATTTAGGACAGTGTTTTCAGATTGTTTTTAATAAATAGTGGCCTTAGAAGTGATAGAATACTTGATGTTTTACAGTCTCTTTTGTATTAGCATAAATGATTTAAGCATTGGTTTAATTTTTAGTGCATCAACAGAGGTAAGTTCTTGTAAAACTTACAATTTTGTAATTGTAAAATTATTCATTGCCAGTGTCTTCAGTTCTTAGGGGGAAAAAAATGTCACAAAAACATATGACTTCATGCAAAGTGCAAAGATACAAAATCATCTGACTTATCATTTCTTCCTTTAAATAGTTAATATTCTTGAAATAGGGGACCTCTCTGGTGGTCCACGAGTTTTGTCACCGCTAAGGACTGAGTTCCAATCCCCCGCCAGGGAGCTAACCCATGAATGGTGCAGCAGACCTCTCCTGTCTCACCTGCTGCTCTCCTCAGCACTTTATTTCAGTCTGCCTGCCTTTTCTGCTCCCCACTGTGTCTCTGGTGAATCCTCTCACCCTCTGCGTCTCTGGCCTACACCCCAGTTCTTGTATGCAAAAATCAAATCATTAATAATCTTCAAATAACAATATTAAAACTACATTATATATGTTACTATAAAATGTTTTTTATTCAACGATATTACTTAGTTGGGATTTACACATGGATATAAAGAAATGTTTTATCAGATTAAAAAAGAAAAGAAAAAATAATACTTTTCAGTGAAAATATCATTTGGAAATTTACAAAAAGCATTTTCCGTTAAGCCTTTTCATCAAAAAGGAAATTAAGTAAAATTATAGGTTACTGGAAAAATTTTAAAATTCTGCATACGAAATATTATGGGATATAGCTGAAGCTATACTCTGAGGCAAATACATAGTCATGGATATTTTTATTATTAAACAGTTAAAAAGAACAATAAAAATCAAGCATCAGAGGCAAGAAATTAGGAGGAAAATGCTATCAAATAAAAGAGGAAATAAATATTTTTTAAAAATTGAGGGGAGGGGATATACATGGGGTAAGAACCAAGAGGGAAGGAAGCACAATGGAGTATATAGTGTTGGACTGGGGGTGATTTGATGGTAGAACCTCCAAAAGGTGATGGTGGTGATACCTGATAGAATACTAATGTTAACACAATTGAAAAATTAATTAATAAAAGACAAAACATTGATAAGTTAGATAACCCGAGAACTAGTATTAAATTTGGAAAGTTGGTTTTTATGAAAGTACCATGGGATTTTTAACACCATTACATTCAGTTTGTTTTAAGAAAAAGGATTACTGCATTCAGCAGAGCAAGTGCAGTCTTAGCTGGTACTTAGACGCATTCCTTAATATTTCCTGACATCTTGCAAAGTGTGTGTCTGTCTGTGTGTGTGTCTCTACCACAGCAGTTTGTCTTGGTAAATAATGTACTTTCAAGTATAAGCCATTCCAAACTGAAAACAATGCAGCCAGAAGTTCTCTCTTAAATATTAATCATTTATTTTTTCAGAAGACATTTTGTTTTTGACTATGAAATGTACAATATCTTAAAGTTTGACATAAACTGTTTTTTTTTTTTAACTTTAACATGAGAAATATATGGAGGGTTTCCATGGTCATATTTTTTTCTGTAGGTGTGTGGTATATACTGAAATTTCAGTGTGGGAGAGTGACTTATTATATTCTACTTCAGTTTTGATTTTAAGTGGGTGTCATTTTTCTATTGCTTAATCTGGAAGTTCTTTTGGAAGTTCTATCTTGCAGTTTAGTGGCATTTTCTGTTGATGTGTGCTTCACAGTAATGTTCGCCATTTTTCCTAAACCAGTCTAGTACACTGCCTTTTCCAGAACATGTGCTCAGTGCCTTCTTACTGAATCATACAGGCTTTCAATGATCTGAATAAATTTTCTTACCAACTTTTTTTGGTAAGATTTATTTATTTATGCATACAAGAACTGGGGTTCAGGCCAGAGGTGCGGTGGGGGAGGGGTGGTGGTGGTGGTGGTGAGAGGATTCACCAGAGACAGAGCTGGGAGCAGAACAGGCAGACTGACTGAAATACACTGCTGAGGGGAGCAGCAGGCGAGACAGGAGAGGTCTGCTGTGCCATGTGGGTAGCTCCCTGAGGATAGTTCACAGTGCTGTGCTCCACCAGGGAGGCCTTCATATGAGCTTTTTTAAACAGGGTTTTTATACTTTAATGATCTGATAAATTCTTGGCTATTCTAGATTGGTCATATCAGAGAAGTTTTATTATTGACATTTATTTAATAAATGCTAAAATTTAAAGTTATAGTATCTTTTTGATCTGGAATTAAGATTTTTTCCCACTAAATTGGAAATTCTGAAATAATTTCTGAAAGAAGACAATTATGATTTTTTTCACTAATTTGGTAATTCTGAAATAGTTTCTGAAAGATAAGACAATTTTACCATGTAGATCTTTTTTTTTTTAAAGCAAATAGTTGTACAGGAATAATTAGGTTTTGTTCTGTGTTGTTTAGACTTATTCCATATATAGTTTTAAGAGGTTAACATTTCTGATCCCTAAAAAAGTAGACCTTGGCAAAATCAGAGGGACTAAGCACAAAAATTTGAGGAATATCATTGGATAAAGTAACTGAGGAATAGTAGCAGATGGCATAACAATCTAATTTTTTCACAACATTTTGTTGTCCATTATGCCAGTCAATTTTTTAAATTTCTATACTAATGTTATTGAAATATTGTCAAAATCTGTTGCTTAACATATTGTCTATATGGATTTTATTATGTGGATTTTTAACAATAGTTTGGGATGTTAGTATTTTCAGACCTAAGACTAACAGATGCTTTCCTTTGGTGTGTGATACTGAAGCACCCAGAGTCACAATAAATAACTTGAAATCATACAGAGTTGTAAGTATAGGGGAAGCTTTGCCAGTCTGTTCCTACTAGTGACATCTTCTGTTTGTGCAGCTGTTGACTATAGCAGCTTCTCTTTTTTTACTAAAAACAAAGGATCATTTCAGTGTGTTTTATTCGTGAACTTTGATATCTAGAATTGCACTTAGAGTAGAAAACAATACAAACTCTAATATTTAAAGGTATATACAGTGTGTATGTGCACACATTGGTTTTTAAATTATGCGTGATACCTTTTGAATAGCAGCTTGCCCAAGTTCATAAAACTTACACAGTACACATGAAACTAGGTATGAAAAACTTTTTTGTAGCTTTTGACTTGAGCAGAGTTTGAATTTGTTGTTACCCAAGTAATTTATGAGTTGGTGTGTTATTTTTGAGGGGGTGGGGGTAGTTAAGACAAGTGTTATTTTAAAATTATTTTATGATTATGTTGGTATTGTTCTTTTTTATATTAGACTGAGAAGCTGATATGACTGTATTCCTTGCTTTTAGAAAATACTAATATCTCTTAGCTCATATTTATAAAACTGTCCAGAGTTCTCATGTTCAAAAATACTGTTTGGTTTTTTATTTTTTTATTTTATTTTTTTTTTTTTAATAGAGGCATGTTTTATTTATTTATTTATTTGTTTGTTTGTTTATACAAGCACTGGGTACAGTCAGAAGCGCGGGAGGGTGAGAGAATTCACCAGAGCCAGAGCTGGGAGCAGAGCAGGCAGAAGGACCGAAGTACACTGCTGAGGGGAGCAGTGGGCGGCAGGAGAGGTCTGCGCGCCATGTGGGACCCTCCTCCGGTGGCCGGGGAGCAGCCGGGGATCGAACCCGGCGCCGCAGAGGCCGCGGGCAGCTTCGCAACCCAGCGCTCAACCGCTGCGCCACCGGGGAAGCCCTGTTTGGTTTTTTAAAAGAAATCTTACAAATTGTATTTTTAGTGTAGTTAAATGTGATTTAAATTTTCCCTTTTCTTATGCATATGTATGAACTATTTAAAGCAAGTTTCCCTTGCCTTTGCATTATTGTTGAAAATCAACCTTTATTTCTAATTGGGGAAACATTAAATGGATTTTTTTTTTTTTTACTGGATATAAATAAATTTTGACTTCTAGTGACTTTCAGTGAAAATTATTGTTTTATACTGTGAGAATTTGGGAGAGTTTTGGCTCCTATATTAAAATTTAAGAAACCAACTTCAATTCAAAGGTGTTCATAAATGCTGTTACTGTATCTACTTCAGATTTGGTTAATAGTACAGAAGTAGACTTTAGAGCTAATTTAGCCAAGGAACAAGGATAGTGAACTAATACTGCTCCATTGTTCAGATTTCTTCTCCTCCCCCTTTTAAAAAGCATTTCTAATATTTACAGTAGAGTCTTTCTACAGAACAGTTTTCTGAATAAAGGCTATATATTGAGCACATTGTCTTTCTTTTAGAATTTCTTGGACTTTTTACTGATTATTTTTGTGGGGAAAAATGCTGAAATTTATTCTGAGTAGTATGATTTTTGGTAGGAGCTTCTAATAAATGCTACCCTAGTGGATTTGTTGGATAAAAGTTTTGGTGAGGACTATTGCTTTGAAGAAATTGATTTGAAATATCGGATTGTGTTTGACTTGCTGGTTTCATTAAGAAGTATTCAGTATATTTTTAGATTGTTATACTTATGTGGTTTTTTTAACATTGTTTTGCAGAATGTGCCCAAAGGAAGGGTTTTTATAATTAGATTTAAAAAATACAAGTATACCAAACACAGAACTATATAAAGCCAATGGACAACTAAGTGAATTATTGTCAGGTGCATATTTTGTAAATATCACCCGTTAGGATATCGAACTCTTCCAGTTATATCCCAATAACATCTCCTTATTTCCTAACAGTAATCTATCCTGACTTTTATAGATGTTGTTTATTTTTCTTTATAGTTTTATCACCCACTTGTGCATTTTTACTTCAGGTTTTTTGGTTGTTTTGTTTTTGTTTTTAAGGCTAGGATTATTAGGATAAAAAGGAAAGCAGGTGCCTGCATAGATACAGGTGGGCAGTCTTGGGACAAGATCTGGCCATACTTATACTACAGTTTAAATATGTTTTTTAAATCCGTAGATTTATTATAAGAAAAAATACAAATAAACAAAAAGAAATACTTATTATAATGACTTTAGTTTGCTCAACTTGTCTACTGGAAAACTGAAGTACTCATTTTTTCCCCAGTTTCCCTGTGAACCAGAAGTTTTTTTTCTCTTTATGTTAAGTATTTTTTTAATTCAGCTTAGACATTTTCCTTCCTTTTAATATAATGACAGTAATCTAATTTCCTGAAATGGACAGAAGTAGACTATTTTTAGACTAGTCAAACAAATATAATTATTCTTCAGAGAAGTTTCATGAATATTTCCCCTTAAGCAAAATTTGTTAAAAACACATTGTTTTGTTTGAAGAGCTAGATTTCTTACTACCAGTTTTATTTTTGGACTCTGAGGTATGACTTCCTTGTACTCTTGATTGTTTTAACAGCTTTGGTTATATAAGAAATGATTTCATTGAAATGTAGTAACTTTTGATAAGTTTTTCCTTATTTGATGGTTTTATTTAAGTAAATAACATTCGATTATTTTAAATTGACATTGCTGTTTCTTTGAATGTTTTGTGAATACTAAGACCTAATTACAGTTTGTAAAGACTGATTTCTTCTGTTGTTAAATTATGAATTTGTATTATTTTAGGTTTTTGGTCATTTGTTAATAATATGTTTCAATTTCTCTTTAAAGAATGTCAAGCTGTCAGCTGAGGTAGAGCCATTTATTCCCCAGAAGAAGAATCCTGATACATTTATGATCCCTATGGCACTCCCAAATGATAATGGAAATGTTTCCGGTGTAGAACCAACTCCAATTCCCAGTTACCTGATTACTTGTTACCCATTTGTGCAGGAGAACCAGTCCAATAGGTGATTCATCTAATATTTTCTTTTGGAAGGGAGGGGGGTGAAGTTAGAAGGGGGAAAAGAAATATAAAGGGAAGCGTACTTCTTAATTTTTTCTTTTGTAACTTTTAGAAATTAACCATTTGTCTGTTTTTAAGAGGAGTAAATAAACCTAATGTAAAGAAATTTCAAATTGTTAGCATGGATTATTTTCTTATTCATTTTTAAGAGGAAATGGAGTTCTTTGTTTACATCACCTAGACTAAGTCATGGAAATTCACTTGAAATAAATTAACTCAAAAGGAGGAATGAATTATTCAGAAAGAAGTGAACAGAGATCCTTTTTTGAAATTAGTCACATAATCATAATTGCCAAGACAGTACACACAAAGAAGCAAATACCAAGGGATATTCTTTAACTCGGAGACTTTTATAGTTAGTTGGCATATATCCCTAGACTCTGAATTTGGCTTCTATGATGCAGTCATGGGGATTTAGCAAAATGTTACAATTCAGATGTGTGACTTAGTAATTAGGGTGTAACTTATGATAGTCACAGTTGTCTTTCTAATCGTGCTTAGACTGTCTGAATGATTAGCCCTTCATTGGTGTAGCTCATTGTTACTGGTATGGAAGTACTTTCAGCCTCTTTCAAGTTACATCACCCATAGAAAATTGTACTTCTATCACCCTGGGATAAATGAATGGGGTGACTGGTTCCTCTTGCCTCTGTCCAGACACCTCTGAGGGCTAAGGCAATCAATATCTTCATGAAACTGTAACCCATGTGGCATATTAATGTGCATATATTAGGGCACATTCTTTGAGATATCCTGAATGTATGAGATATGAGACCACTAAACAACTAAGTTGATAATCTAAGAATAGTTTGGGGGATTTGAATGAACAATGAACGCTAAGGTATCTTTCTCAGTTAAAGTTAGCATTTATATTAAAATTCTTTTACCTGTTTTGAGCTGTTTGAAGTAATTTGTAAACACAATTTAATATTTTTGTATTTGACAAAATGGCCAAATGTATAATAGATTTGTTTTCTTACTTTACAAATGATCTTTGAGATTTCATGAGTGGCTTGCAGATTATTTAAAAATATTTTTAGAATTATGGCAGTGAGTGTTTTTCTGTTTTGCTTTTTCATGGTTGTAGTCTGGAAAAGCTCCTTGCTCCAGCTCCCTGAGACCCATCATTCACCAGCAGCAACCTTCTGTAAAGGATTGCTGAGACAGGAAGGATCTTGCTGATGCTTTTTAGGAACTGTGCTAGAAGCTCTAATGCTACGGATAAAATGGCAGCGGGCAGGCTTACCTCTTTCTTCTCTTCTTTCCCTTGGACCTGGAGCTTACTTACGTTGCCAAGGAGGGGAGCCAAGAAAAGAGTTGGACTTGCCAAGTGGTTAGGGGAGTATGAGAGAGGAGTAGGCGGCTCGGGACTGAGCTGAAGAATGAGAGATAGAGGAATCAAATCACCCATTGTAATGATCACCTTACACCATGATCACCTTACACCACTTTTTGCAGAAGACTGTCACAGTTGTTGGCATTGGATGAGAACTTTAGACTGCCTTTGTTGGCAGATGCACCAGTGGCTAGGTGATTAACTTTTAGGTAAAAATATCTTGAGGGGGTTGAGGGTAGAGTGACAAATAAGAATAGTGTGTACTTTTAAAACTTTGGAATGCAGGTTTAATCCTTTGTACTGTCATTTAAATTGTTATTACATGTACATAATAAGCTAACTACCGCCAAGTAACTTATTAGATGATAATTTTATCTCTTTTTCCAGAATTATATTGAAACCACTCTTTTTAAAAAATGAGTTATGAATTTTGCTTTAGTATTACTTTTAGACTTGTTAATAGATTTATTCTCTTTTGATTTGGTTTTGCAGACAGTTTCCATTGTATAACAATGATATACGATGGCAACAGCCCAATCCAAACCCTGCTGGACCATACCTTGCCTACCCTATTATATCTGCTCAACCGCCTGTTTCTGCAGAGTACACATATTATCAGCTGATGCCAGCACCTTGTGCCCAAGTTATGGGTTTCTATCACCCTTTTCCTACACCTTACTCCAACACCTTTCAGGCAGCAAATACTGTAAATACTATAACCACAGAATGCAGTGAGCGTCCAAATCAGCTTGGACAGGTCTTCCCATTGTCCAGTCATCGAAGCAGAAACAGCCACAGAGGACCAGTGGTACCAAAAGTAAGTGACTGATCCTGATTGACTCTTAAACTTGATACTTATGTTGTTACTAATAGTGTAAGTAATTTGCCACTTGTGTTAATTTAGTCTTCAATGCTAAATTTCCTTCAGTATTAAAGTAGTCAAGGATATAGTGTTTACAAAATAATTTTTCATCTTTCTATTGCTCCCTGTTCTTAATTGGTATGATTTACAGTAATCTTCAGGTTCCTTCAGAGAGTTTTACATAAACATAATGCACAAGTATTTCCAAATTAATTCAATTTAGTGATAAAAATTGCATAGTGACATCAGTATTAATAAGTGGTTAGTTTGGACCCTATGCTAGCAGAGTTGAATGACTAATACACTTCAAGATATTTCAGTCTTCAGAATCTACAGAAGAAAAGAACACTTGTGATTCATTAGATCCTTTCAGCCACATTGTTTCTGTTCTATGAATTTTTTAATAAGGATAGCATTTTACTGTTCAAGGGATGTTTTACTATTACATTAACACAAGATCTCCTAGGGTGAAGATGTAAGATAAATGTGTAAAACCACATTTATTTAGGATTAAGGCATCTTCCTACTCAACACTTTTGGGTTGGTAGAGGTAGAATGAATGACTTCTTAGATACATCTTATGACTATATCAAGTTGTTGCTTCCCTAGGTCCCATTAGCCTTGCTTCTTTAGTGAAAAATTTTTGTTGTATTCTGGCATACTTTTTTACAAATTAAAATATAAGCAGCAGAAGTTGCTTTGACAAGTGTTTCATTCATGAAAACAACGGGACAGGGAAAATCCTTTGGGGACCTTTGAGAATAAGAATAAGATAATAGTAAATAACCTTCAAAGGTTGAAGAAACATGATTTCTCATAATGCATTCTTAGCACTGAATTTGGGAAGTTAAATTCAGAGTTCTGTTGCATAATCTACTGTTAAGTGGTGATTATTTATATTTTTAATAATGTAGGAAGGGATCTGCTTTTTTATATTTTCTTTTTAAAACCTGAAGCAGAAATTTCCTTTGTACTTCATTGAATTTCAAAACTAAAATTTAGCTTTTGGATAAGTTAGTACCTTTTTAAATAAAAATTACAACTTCTTATATGCCATGATTTTACTCCTTTTTATTAATTATTGATTGAGAAAATTAAAAATGCAAGTAACTATTTTATTACTCATAGTGTTATTAGTGGTTACTTGAAAAATAGTGTATATGTGTGTGTAAGTTATTATTTAACCTAGTAATTTCATGAAATTCTAAATTAGTAACCCTGTTTCCCCTTAGGTTGAAAGCCATTAATTTTAGGTGTGTTTTATAGTGGATGTGTATTTTACAGTATTTAGTATATTGAGTGGGAGCTTAATTTTTTTTTTTTTTACTTTAATCAGCAACAGCTTTTACAACAGCACATAAAAAGCAAAAGGCCACTGGTGAAAAATGTAGCTACTCAGAAGGAGACAAATGCAGCAGGTCCTGATAATCGATCAAAAATTATACTTCTAGTAGATGCTTCACAGCAAACTGGTAAGGCAAAGGTTCTCATATATACACCAGTGATTTTATCTGTTGTTATGCATTGATATTATAATTGTGGTCAGTACCTCTTTAAGGATTGTAGATTTTCATCCTTCTTTTTATCCTGCCACTGTATGAAATTTTCTGGGAAATATAAAACAGCCCATGTTCTAATGTTCTTTCAACTTGTTTGCTTGCTTATGTACAATTGAGAGCAGGGTTTGAGGTTTCCTTATCCTGTTATATATCAATAATAGTGGGGCACTGCAGAAATCAGAGAATGAACTTTGCAGACATTTAAGACATTTGAAGAACTTATTTTGGCAGAAATCAGAATTGTGGCTCTTTTTATAACTAGATTAAAATTCTTTATAAGACATCCTAACATCCATCCTATAATATTTTCATATTAGAAAGTTTTCTGTGCTAATCAAAAAAGATAGACACATGCAGTTTGCAGCAACATGGATGGAGCTAGAAGGGATCATGCTCAGCGAAATAAGTCAGAAAGATAAAGAAAAATACCGGATGGTCTCACTCACAGCAGGAATTTAGAAAACCTAAATAAGAGACCAGGAAAAAGACTAATCAATGCAAAGTAATGATCAGAATCAACAAGCAACTGTGAACCGGAGACACACTAGTGGGGGTAGGATTAGGGAGGGGTGGGGAGAGGAAGAACTAGAGTCAAAATAAGGGGGGATGCAATTGTTTGGAGAATATAACCAAAATGAAAATGCATACATTGTACAAAGATGAAAAATGATGTAAGAATTATATAAAATTAAATATTAAAAAAATAGATTTAAAAACAATCAAAAAAAAAAAAGAATAGGAATGTTGTAAAAGTGCATAGCTGTGTTCTAACAATTGTCATGATAGTATCCATCAGGAGAGCCTTTAGGACTTCATTCTGTAAGTGTTTAATAATATTAATTGGTTCTCAGGGTTAATATGCAGCAGGCAGAATTGCTCACTGCTGTGGATGGGAGGGACTTGCTGTTAAAGGGAAAGGGTGGGTAAAGGATTTTGGAATCTTCAGATCATGGACCATTTTGTAAGGTAGATTGAAAGATCCCCAAAGAGCTAGCCTCTCTAGGATGATTAGAATACAGTCTCATCTTTACAACCTGTGAATATATTACCTTAAAAAAAAAAAAGAAAGTTTTCTATGCTATATTTTAGTTAACATAGATCTGAACCAAACCTATGAGTTAACACCGCTGTATGTTGTCAAACAAATAAAAATTTTGAATTAGATAACACTTTGTCACAAGTTTTTTAGAGGACTGGGTAGACACAAAATTAAAAAGCTTTGTCCTGCTACTAGATAAGAAATGATAACTTCCTTTTTCAGTAATCAGCAACAAGAAAAGTGTAGGATATCCAATCAGTGGAATAATATGGAAACTTCTTATAATTCTGAAGATCATATGACATATTAAACAAAGCACCGACTCCATATTATATTGAGATGGTGTAAAAATTAGGTATGGTCAGAATGTGGAAAAGGGAATTTTGTGATTGGATTGAGAGGAGAGTGTTAAGAGGTTTTTTTGGGTAATGTTTTGTGAGTATAATTTGAAATACAAAAGTAAAGCATGGACAGCCCAGTGGAAAAATAGAAGTCAAACAACCCATAAGTAAAATTAACAAGAATAGAAAACATTAGTGCTAAAAAAGCATCAGAAAATGTTCTCTCTTAATATTAAACAGAAAAATGCAAATTAAAACCTACAATGAAGCATCTTTCTATGCCCAACAATTTTCGAAAATTATAGCTTGGAAGACAGTAGCAAGTATGTGACGAATACATGGGTCAGTGGGGATGTTTATATCTTGCTATTGGAATTAAACTGTTTTAACCTTCTTTGAAAATGATTCGGCTCTACAGTGTGAAAGTTAAATATGTGTTTCCTCTAAGACATAACACTATTTGCCTTAGAGAGACTTTCACATGCACACATATGCATTCATATGTCTATATAAATATTTATAGTCTATATAAATGTTTTTTTCTTAATAGTAAAACCCAAAACAAATCAACTGTCCTATCAGTGGTACAAAGATGAATACATTGTGTATATTCCTATATAGGCATTCTACATTCCAGGGACATTATTGAATTACAGCCACATGTGTCAGAATCTCAATCAGTGGGGTGGAGGAAGCAAGTAACCAAAGAGTGGACAGTATGATTTCATTTTCATAAAGTTAGAAACTGCAGAATTACATGCTTTATGTTTTAGGAACACAGAAATCCATGGTAAGTTTTTTAAGAAATGTGAGACTAAACACAGGGGAGGAAGAAGATGTAGTCGTGCAGGGTGGATTGGTGATATTCTCTTTCTTAAATGGGTGATGGTTTCTTTTTCTCTTTTAATTGCATGAATATTTTATTCTATTTTCATAATAAATATGTTACAAGGCAGTTTATCAGGAACATCTCAACATTTGATGATCCTTTCAAAAAGTGTCCACCTGTTTTCTTCATTTGTAAAGTTAAATGTCTTTATTTTCTATAACCTTAATGATAATTTAACAAGAATTTATCAACGTGATCTTCACAGAATTGTCACATTTTCCTTGTCTTGTAGATTTCCCGTCAGACATTGCTAACAAGTCTCTCTCTGAGAGCTCTGCCACAATGCTCTGGAAGTCCAAAGGCAGGAGGAGAAGAGCGTCCCACCCTACAGTTGAATCCTCTAGTGAGCAGGGAGCTAGTGAAGCTGACATTGACAGTGATAGTGGCTACTGCAGCCCCAAACACAGCAACAACCAGTCCGTAGCAGGGGCTTTGAGAAATCCTGATTCTAGCACCATGAATGTATGTGACACTGCTTTGATTTCTTTATCAATTATCTATATCAGTATTATCTTTGTGCCCTCTGCTAAAGCTTAAGTATTTTCATTAGCAATTCCTATAGTAAAAGAGTAGTTAAAAATATATTTTGCATATTTTATTATTAATACAAAAATACTGGTTTATGAAGAAGCAGTTTTTTAATTGTAATGAGCATGCCTCACAATAGAGTAAATTGTGAAATGTTTTACTGGGGTATATGGTTTAATTCTTAAGCAGAAAATAATTGTCATTTTTGTTTCTATTTTTAGCATGTGGAATCATCTATCTGTGCAGGTACTTATTTTATGCTTAGTATTTTTGCTATGCTTTCTTTTTTGTTCATGTCCAAGTTTTGCTCTTAAGCATGAAACTTGCTAATGCTGCCGAATAAGTAGAAATCTTCCAGAAATTCAAGTTAATTTGAAAATAGAATTTTTTTCCTGCAAAAAATGCCAACTGGAGGTATTCTTACGGAATGGAATGACACTTGTATCACTTAGAACTGAAATACCACTTAAGGTTTTCAGAAAAACTTCCAGTTTTACATTCGTAACGACTGAATTTTATGATGTTGGGAGCAATTTAAATTTTGGGATCTTTTCTAAGTCAATCATATTTTTAAAAATCTCATTCATATAGGTGGTGTAAACTGGTCCAATGTAACTTGCCAGGCAACACAGAAAAAACCTTGGATGGAAAAAAATCAGACATTTTCTAGAGGTGGAAGGCAGACTGAGCAAAGAAATAATTCACAGGTAATTTGAATTAGGTTAAAGAAATTTGATTAGTGTGAGATGAATTATTTTAAGTGGTACAGTACTTTTGAGGGACAGAGTTTCGTTTTTGGAAATGCATATTGAACTATTTAAAAGTAAAATATGGTATCTGTAAGTTTAAAATGACTTGACCAATAAAATTATTATTTAAATAAACAAAATGGTGGAATGTTCAATTTAGGTGGTGTGTATTTGAGTGTATATTGTACTATTTCTACCCTTTTTTTGTGATTATTTCCTTTTTTTTGTTTTGTTTTTACTTATTTATTCTTTTAATTGAGGTCACATTAGGATCCTCCCCATGAATACAGAACTGAAGCATCCAGTGTGGGGGGCGGGGGAGGGGGGATGAGAAAAGAGGGGAGGAAGCCTAGCGGACTATTGTGGTAGACTATGGATCATTTCTACCTTTCTATATATGAAACATCGCAATATTTTTTAATTTTAAAAAATAATCTCCAATCCTGCTTCATCTGCGTTACTTTTTACTGTCTATACAAACATCTTAAAAGCATTTTAATGTTTTCAATACTGATTCTTTGAAATTCAGGGCTGTAGTCTTGTTCATGCAGCTCTTTCCTTGACTGTGAATGCCACAAGCCACGTTCTGCTTGTGGCAGTGCTCTAGTGATGGCTGCCTGTGCTGTATGTAATATGGCCAGACTGGGCAGCTTCTTGGCTTTGGGGAGTAAGAATATGGTGCAGTACAGTAGAGAAAGTTATATACTACCACAAACTTGGAAAAACTGCATTTGTGCATTGCTTATGAAGTCGAGGAGTTGTTTATAGGTCAGTATTTTTTCCTTTTTTCTAGATAACTTTCCTGGATTCCTAAATCTAGTTAAGGAAAGTTACATGAATAGATCTGTGGTTGAACTGAAACAAGAGGAAGTTACTAATTGATTAAATAGACCAAATACTTGCCTGTTCTTCACCTCCCTGAAATAAAGTACTACAGATGTACCCTAACATTAAATTAGACTGCCAGGAAAACAAGCAGAAAGCAGAATAATGTCCTCTTCCCTATGGTTATTGCAAAAATGAGTCATTGTTATTTGTGGCAGGCTTGTGAGGCAATCTAGTTTTATTTGATTAAAAACAAAAGAGCTAAAACAAGAATTGTTTATATAGATAAGATAAACAGAAGCTACGAACTATTTACTTAAGTTCTGCAATTTTATGTTAGAACTACCAAGTTTCCAGTCTCAGTATTGTTGCTTTTGGTATTAATTCACCAGAAAGAAAATAATACTGATGGAAAAACATTTTGTCTCTGCCTTAAAACTATTGAGGAATGGTAAAAGAACAACAAAAAGTCGTGCAAGTCCATATAATATGTTAAGTTTTGTTTATTTGTATTTCTCTTCATTCCAAAAGAACTGGAGCCAGATACCAAGCTGTGTGTTTTCTAACTTCTGATGCTTCCTTAAACTTGTACTTTTCTTATGCGTTTGTTTGATTTTTGACATGCAAAAGCTTTTTTCTTTTTCAGTCAAAGTACTTCCCCTTGATCTTAGGTTTAAAATCTAGAAGTCCAGTAAATATTAGCCTGGGTTTTGTGGGGGTTTTTTGGGCTACTTTTTTATAGTATAATGTTTCAAGACTTTTTAATTGCACATTTATTTTGATACATGGTGTAGCATAGTGATACAGATTTTCAAGGTAGTTTAACCAGTTGCCCCAGCGTTGTTACACATTTTTCCCTCTGATTTGGGCTTTTGTTTTGTCAGATTTTTTACACCTCTGTACCATAGTGTTTGAATTAGTGATTTTTGGGGAAACATTTCCCAGCGTTTTAACAGTTGACAGATCCTTTTTATATACTGATAATAACCTTAGTTTTGGATGATGAAGAGATTCTAAAAACTTACATTTTTAAAAATTATTTTATTTTGTAAATATGTTCAAAATATAAATCATTGAAAAAGAAAATCTCATCTTTACCTATGCCTTTTGTCTTCCCCTCTCCCCTATATTATGTCTCACTTTGATGACTTTAAGAGTTTCTTCATTTTCAGTTAAATCATAATTAGAAATGCCTCGTCTCTACTCTAGGCTTATAAAGGAATTTACCTATTTTCTTTTTTAGATTTTTATTCATTTTATTTTTGCATATATGAACTGGGGTGCAGGCCAGAGGTGCAGAGGCTAAGAGGATTCACCAGAGACAGAGTGGGGAGCAGAACAGGCCAATCTACTGAAATACAATGCGAGGGGAACAGCGGGCAAGACAGGAGAGGTCTGCTATGCCATGTGGGTAGCTCCCTGGCCTGCTGTTGAATTCAGGCCTTAGTGGTGGAAGCACTGAGACTTAACCCCTAGGCCACCAGGGAGTCCAGGAATTTGCCTATTTTCTTCTAGTGTGATTATGGTCTTGCTTTTTCACATTTAAATCTTTTTTTTTTTAAAGATTTATTTGTTTGTTTGTTTGTTTATACAAGCACTGGGTACAGTCAGAAGCGCAGGAGGGTGAGAGAATTCACCAGAGCCAGAGCAGGGAGCAGAGCAGGCAGAAGGACCGAAGTACACTGCTGAGGGGAGCAGCGGGCGACAGGAGAGGTCTGCGCGCCATGTGGGACCCTCCTCCTGTGGCCTGGGAGCAGCCGGGGATCGAACTGGCACTGCAGAGGCTGCGGCCAACTTCGCAACCCCGTGCTCAAACGCTGCGCCACCTGGGAGGCCCCACGTTTAAATCTTAATTCCATTTGAGTAGTAACCCATATCTCCCATCATTTATTAAAAAGTCCATTTCTTTACTGGATTGAGATAACCCTCTTCATCCCCTATTAAATTTCTACATATATTGAAACCTACTTCTGGATTTTCAGTCTTATTCCATTAGTCATTAAATTGTCCTGTCTATTTAGGGAGAATGGATTGCCTTGATGATGTGGGATCTTTCTAAGCAAAAAAAAGTATGTCTTGGGCCTCTCCAGTGGCATAGCGGGTTGAGTACAGTGCTGTGGAGCTGCTGTGGGGCTGTCCACAGCCTCTGCAGCATGGGTTCAATTCCCCGCCGGCCAGGGAGATTCCCACACGGCGCAGCAGACCTCTCCTATCTCGCCCGCTGCTCCCCTCAGCAGTGCTTTCGGTCTGTCTGCCTGTTCTTGCTCCCCACTCTATCTCTGGTGCATCCTCTCACTCTCCTGCCCCTCTGGTCTGTACCCCAGCTATTGTATAAATACAAAATAAATCTTTAAAAAAAAAAAGTATTTCTTCTCACTGTTATCTTTTTTTTTGTTTTTCAGATGATGTATGGTTTTTCTGAAAATGTTTGCACACTATTCCTCATTTGTCAATTCCTAGTATTTTTTGTCATGTAAATGGGGTTTGAATGCTTAGGTCTTTTATTATTAATTTCTGGGTTTATATATATGAGATACATTTATATACATATATATATGATGCTGTAATTTCAGCTTTGTTCTGCTCTGTATGCACACTTTCTGTCAACAAAATTTTTTTTCCTAGAACTGAAAAAATGAGATTGATTCATTCTTTTCAGGAGGTATTTGAAATACATCCTGTTTGGTCTTCGTGAACTTTGTTGGCACTGTTCATTTGAGGATTTTAATTTAATTTTGGAGCTTTTATGTCTCCAAGGATGAGAATCAAGTTGCATTTGTTTTTAAGGAAGTTGTTTTAGTGCTTTCACTAACATAAATACAAATCTATTTACTCTGGTTTATAGCAGGATTTATTTACCTTTTGATGTAATTTTAATGCTGTTTGGAGAGCCAAATTTGCATTTTTTTTTTTTTTGGTGATGGTTACTATACAAAGAAATGAGTTGAGAGTTTCTATCCCTAGCTGGGGGTTATTAGTACTCTTTTATTTCCTTTTTTTAAGATTTATTTATTTATTTATTTACACAAGCACTGGGTACAGTCAGAAGCACAGGAGGGTGAGAGAATTCACCAGAGCCAGAGCGGGGAGCAGAGCAGGCAGAAGGACCGAAGTACACTGCTGAGGGGAGCAGCGGGCGGCAGGAGAGGGCTGCGCGCCATGTGGGACCCTCCTCCGGTGGCCGGCTGGGGATAGAACCGGCTCTGCAGAGGCTGTGGGCAGCTTCACAACCCAGTGCTCAACTGCTGAGTCACCGGGGAGGCCCTCTTTTCAAAGTTAATAATTTATGTTGATCAGGTTGTTTCCTTGGTACCTGGGCATTGTAAATTGCATTTGTTTTACTGCCTTGTATGAGTTTCTTTTCATGAGCCAATTTAAAAAATACTACTTAATTATGAAACTTTTTAGACAGTGAAGTTGAAATATTTTCAGAGAATATTCATATAACTATCAGCTAGATACTACCTAGCATTGTGGCATATATGTCTTCATGAGGTGTGTGTATTTTTTTTTTAATTGCGATAATATTGGTTTACAACACTGTACTAAGTTTCAGATTTTCTGCCTCATACCTCAGCAGGTATATATACCATTTTTGGCTCAGCATCAAAGTTCTAGTTACCACCCACCACTGACTCCTCTACCTGTTCTTCATCCCCCTTCTCTGAGTAATCACCATTCTGTTGTCAGATCTAACGGTTTTTGTTTTGTGTTATTTATTTTCTTTATCTTGCACATGTTAGTGAAATTATATTTTTCTTTTTTCTGATTTATTTCACAGCATAATCTGCTCACATTCCATCCTAGTTGATTCAAAGAGCAAGATTACGTCTTGTTTTTTATAATTGAGTGGTATTTGTGAGCCTATTTTTAAAATGAGGTACATATTTAAAACTAAGAAACTATTTCGTATCTGGAAAATTTTATATATTTTTGAAGATGTTCAGAGGTTATAGAAGTAGCCCAGTTGTCACAATACATATTCTAAGGAAGAATTAAGTTTGTTGTATTACTATATTACAGTTGAGCTATGCAGTCTGCTTCTCAAAAGAATCTAAGAATCTCTTATCAGCAAATCTTGCTAGTCATGGGAATTATCAGGTGGTTCCAGCTCTTTAGATGCATATTTCTAATTTCATAATCCAAAATTTGTATACCAGCATCTTCTATCTAGGTCTGCTTCAGGTTCTGTTCGTTGTTATAGTTTTGGTTGACTGATAATGAAGATTATACTTTTACATCTTCTAAGTGCCCTTGTGAAGAGAGACATTTCATATTAACTGAAGTAGTCCTGAGGACTGAAATTAGGTTCGTAAGAGAGGGAACTTGGAATGTTTTAAGAGTCTTAAAATGCTTAATCTGTTATGTCTTATCCTTATGACATGGGATATTTAGCAAATTTATTAATAGGATAATAATTTATGTGATTGAAAATTTTCTCTTAAACTTGTTTTCTTCGGATTAAGATCTTAAAATTTTTACTATGCTTGTGTTTTTAACTGCAGCTATTTAAGAATCATAATAATTTAATAAAATTATATAAATAGGGATATATAGGTGAACAAAATGGGTAAAAGTGGTAAAACAAACTTCTGGTTATAAAATAAATCATGGGAATATAAAATACACCTTTTTAGTAATACTGTATTAATACTGTAGTAATTTAGTATATTTAGTAATGCTGTTTAGTAATACTGTAGTAATGTTTGAAAATTGCTAAGAGAGGAGATCTTAAAAGATCTCACAAAAAAAAAATGTGTAACTACTGTGGTGATCATTTTGTAATATACAGATATTGAATCAAAAATCTGAAATTATTAAAATGTGGTCAGTTATGTTAATAAAAGCAAATGAATAGTATTTAATCATTTTTTAAATGTGGTAATACGCAGTTTCCTCCAGTAGTAACATTTTGCAAAACTATAGTGCACTATCACAACCTGATATTTTGAAATACAGTTAAGATACAGAGCAGTGGCATCATTCCAGAGATTCTTCAAAGCCACAAATATTTCCCTCCCTCACCAACCTTTCCTTTACTCATATAGTCCACTAATCTGTTTTCTGTATGATTTTTGTCTTTTCAGAATGTTATATAAATAACTCATACAGTCCTTTTAGGGTTGACTTTTTTTTCACTTGCATGGTTCTCTGGAGACTCATTCAGTTTGCTGAATGTATATAATAGTATATGTATTTGCTGTATATATAATAGTAATAGTTTGCTCCTTTTTGTGACTATTCCATACTATGAAGGTACCACATTAGTTTATTCACCCAGTGAAGGACATCTGGGGTTTGCCAATTTCAGGCTGTTATAAAGATGATAAAATTTTTATTTGAGGGTAAGTAATATGCGTTACTATGTTTTCATATCTTCTTTATGATGACATTGTATGTTAATAGTTTTAACTTTTTGTAATTATGCTTCTTGATAAAAGTTCATTTTAGTTACATAATTTGTGTTCTTACTGTGTGTAATACATCCCTAAATACTAATTTTTTTTTTTTTAAATAATAAGATATGTTTTATTTTCTCCTTAGGTTGGATTCAGATGCCGAGGACATAGTACTTCCTCAGAAAGAAGACAGAATTTGCAAAAGAGACAAGATAATAAGCAGTTAAACCCCAACCAGTCTCATCGAGGGGACCCAAATTCTGAGTCTTTATATTTTGAGGTATTTTTCTAATTCTATTTGTAAGCTGTTATAGCACATGTTCCCATTAAAAATTGACTTTGTTACATTATAAACATTTTATGAAAAGTATTTTTTAATGCCTTGACTTGTGACTCTAATACTAGATTATAAATAACTCAGAGTACTGACTCATTTTATCTTAGTTATATATGGTTAGTCTAATATTAATTTCATTAGTTTATTTTCATAAATTTTTGAATGCATATTCATTGTTTTGGAATAGATTTGATTTAATGAAACTTTCTCCCTAATTTTTCATATTGCTGTTTAATCTAGTTGTCATGTGTTAAGATATGAGTAGGACTTGAGAGGACATCTCAGTTATTCCTTCAAAACAAGAACATATGGCAGATTTATGATTTGCATTTAGCCAGATGATAGGTCGCATACTTACACTTAAACATATTTTACACCATTTTCAGTATAAAGGAGGATATCGGATGAGTAATTATTTTGAAAAGAAAAAAATTAGTTTTAACTTAGCCTTATTGATAGTTGTATGCAGTAATGCAGGACAGGGAATATTTGGTGACGTTCATTTTAAGCCATCTACTTAAAATATTTTCCACATTATCTGAAATGTGATAAAGTCCTTTTTGAATTTCTTTTCAAATACCTCTATATCCTAAGGTATGATTATTACTAAAAATGGAATTCTGGGTGCAGAAAGCCCAAAGAATGGACATGTGCATATGACACCCTTTGGATAATTATGTTTTATTTATTCACATGTGAGAAGTGAGATTTTCTTTTTAATACTGACATTAAATTGTTTTTCAAGATTTAAAAGATGTCTTCCCCATTTTTCATTATCCTTAAGCAGTTTAAAATGTTTTTCTTAAAAGTGTATTGCTTTGAACGATGTTTTCACTTCGGATGTGAAACTATTTCAGGATGAAGATGGATTTCAAGAATTAAATGAGAATGGAAATGCTAAAGATGAGAATATTCAACAGAAACTTTCCTCGAAAGTAGTAAGTAGCTCCTTTTTTAAAAAAGAAAGGAAAACCTCTTTTAAACTATGACTGTGTTGAAAAGAAATATTAAAGGTAAATGAAAAAGATGGTAGATTTTCTAGGAGCAGCAGTGTGTTTAGTGCTCTTTAGTATTTCCTTTAACTTAGAACAAACACACTTTCCTTTGAAATCCACAGTCTCATTATAAATAAAGTACCAATAGTTAAATGGTAGTTTCATACATCATACAACATGCTGAAATTTCCCCAGTTGTTGCAGAGCTTTGCTTTAGAGTTATTTTGTTTTTTCAGTCCAGGATCCAGTTAGGCGCGTTACCTGTTGAGTTAAGCTGTTTTGCATTTTTCTTACTTTCTTGTCTGGAGTGGTCCCGGTGTTTCACTCTGTTCTTTGATATTGAATCCTTTGAAGAGTCTAGTCTACTTATATTGTAGGACATCCTCCATTCTGTATTATCTTTCCTTATGATAGACTTACGGAATCACTAACAGATGTTTTTCTCTGATCATCATAGTTGGATGATTTACCTGAAAACTCACCAATCAATATAGTTCAGACTCCAATTCCTATTACAACCTCGGTTCCCAAACGTGCAAAAAGTCAGAAGAAGAAAGCTTTAGCAGCAGCCCTTGCCACAGCTCAAGAATATTCAGAAATAAGTATGGAGCAAAAAAAATTACAGGTATATGTTCCTTTTTTATGAACAAATTTAGCAGTTTATTTGGTAAACTTGGGGGAATGACAAATGCAATCATCTAAAATTGCTATACTTTCATACTATAACAAAAACATATATTTTCATTCTTTTAACTTTCAGGAAGCTTTATCAAAGGCAGCAGGAAAAAAGAATAAAACACCTGTGCAGTTAGATTTGGGGGACATGTTAGCAGCTCTGGAAAAACAACAACAAGCTATGAAAGCACGACAAATTACTAATACCAGACCTCTGTCATGTACAGGTAATACATTAGTTGAACAATTTGCTATTTGGCATTGGTAATATATTTTGGATATTTTTTTTCCCCCAAGGATTTTATTTATTTATTTATTTTTGTTAAATATTTTATTTTATATAATTCTTACATCTTTTTCATCTTTGCACAATGTATGCATTTTCATTTTGGTTATATTCCCCATACAATTGCATCTCCCCCCTTATTTTGACTCTAGTCCTTCCTTTCCCCGCCCCTCCTTCCCTCCACCCCTGTAGTATGTCTCTGGTTTATAGTTGCTTGTTGATTTTGATTTTTACTTTGTATTGATTAGTCTAGAGCACTTGGGCTTAACAGACATCTACGGATTTTATTAATTTTTATACAAGAGCTGGGGCATAGGCTAGAGGCGCGGGAGTGCGAGAGGACTCACCAGAGACAGAGCGGGGAGCAGAACAGGCAGACTGACCAAAATGCACTACTGAGGGGAGCAGCAGGCAAGGCAGGAGATTTCCACAGGGCAATGCGGGGACCCTGCCGGCCCTGTGGGTCAGCCAGGATCGAACTCACACCACAGAGGCTGCGGACAGCTCCACAGCACTGCACTCAACCCGCTGCGCCACCGCGGAGGCCCTATTTTGGATATTGTTAATCTAAATTTTATATATAAAACTAGAAACACCCTATTCACTAACTCCTTTTGCTCCTCTCCCCATTATTATACTGGACTGTAATATTCCCCAATTCCTCATTTATCTTTTTTTCCTTTTTAAAGATTTATTTACTTACGCATACAACAGCTGGAGTACAGGCCAGAGATGTAGGGGATGAGAGGAGTCACCGAGACAGAGTGGGGAACAGAACAGGCAGGCAGACTGAAGTACACTGCCAAAGGGAGCAGCGGGCGAGACAAGAGAGGTCTGCCTTGCCATGTGGGTTTCTCCCTGGCTGACTAGGAATCTAACTCGTGCTGCAGAGGCTGCGGATTGCTTCATGGTGCAGTGCTTAATCCCTTGTGCCACCAGGGAGGCCCTCCTCGTTTATCTTAAAAGAAGTTATCTTTTAAAAGTAGAACCTAGGTTATATCACTGCTTTAGTCAGACCCCCTCCAGTAGCTCTTCATCTTACTTGGGGGTTACAGCCATGTCTTGCCGACCCTGTGACCTTTTTGCTGTCATCGCCATTCCTTCCTGGCACAAATAGCTCTAGCTACATTAGCCCCCTTACTGCCCTCCAGACACACCTAGTCTGCTCCTAACTTAGTATCTTTGTGCTTGCTATATCATTTTCCTGCACTCTCTTTTCACAACAGTGTAGTTTGTTCCCTCAGGTCTTTCAGTTCTCTGTTGAAATGTCAGTTGGTGTGCCTTTTGAGTCAACCAATTTCTTTTCTTCTCCAAAGGTTGAAATAAAAACCACAAGAAATTTGATTCTACAGCTAAATTAATTCAATTTTAAAATCAAATGGGAAATACAGGGGTTTTGATCCAGTTGTGTGTGTGTGTGTGTGTGTGTGAGAGAGAGAGAGAGAGAGAGAGAGAAGTGACCTGGCACTACTAAAACAGTAATTTATGTCTTTATTTTTAGAGAATGAGTTTGAGAGGGAAAAGCATTGATTTTTATTTATTTATTTTTTCTTACATAACGGAGATTTTGACTTGTGTTGGGAGTTTTGGGAAAGAGTAAAGAGTTAAGGAGAAACTTGAGATCCCTGAGGAATCAATCCAGAGATGGAATAAAGAGCAGAAGTGATTTGTGACCCTCAGATAGGAGTTAGGATGCCTGTCGCCTCTCATGTGAGTTTACATTGGATAGCAGCTTCTCAGGGAAGTGGCAGGAAAGCTTCTTGGCTAGAGAGAGGATTGAGATTAGAGGCTTCAGACTGCTAAAGGGTTAGGGTAGCCACTGGAGATTGAGGATGTCAATCAGCCATAAAAGAATTACTGAATACTACTGGGAGTATAGCTGAGGGGGAGAAATACATCATTCTTGGGCCTCCCCAGTGGCGCAGCAGTTGAGCGCTGGGTTGCGAAGCTGTCCTCAGCCTCTGCAGCGCCGGTTCAATCCCCGGCTGCTCTCCGGCCACCGGAGGAGGGTCCCACATGGCGCGCAGCCCTCTCCTGCCGCCCCCTGCTCCCCTCAGCAGTGTGCTTCGGTCCTTCTGCCTGCTCTGCTCCCCACTCCGGCTCTGGTGAATTCTCTCACCCTCCAGCGCTTCTGACTGTACCCAGTGCTTGTATAAATAAATAAAAATAAAAAATAAGATAAAAGGAAATACATTGTTCTTTACTGGTAAACAGAAGAGTGATAGACTGTATATGTTATATAAGGTGATTCTCCTCCAAGCCCATTCACTTGAAATAAGAAGTGCAGCGTTTTAAAGTTTCAAAGTTAAAATGGTTCTGACTGAAGACCAGTTGCAAAGAATTGCCATGCTTGAGGGTGGCTGCAGTAAGAAAGAATTAATTATTCATCCTTATTTTGGACTGTTAAATTATTGCATTGACTTTGTTGTCTTTATGGAGTCTAGAAGATGCATAAAGGCTGTATCTGAGGGCCAGTGCATGGCCTTGTACTACTTTTACCTTTATGTTGATTTTTTTCCATCAGAAAAGGATGTTTTTGTTTCTACATGTAGATTTAACATTTGAAGCTTTAAGAATATGTGGAGTTGTCTGTTATAGTAAAATCAGTGTTCTTTGTTTGGTTTTAGTGGTCACTGCAGCTTCTTTTCACACTAAAGACTCCACTAACAGAAAATCTTTACCCAAAAGTCAGCCCTGTTTGACATCCTTTAATTCTTTGGATATCACTTCCTCTAAAGCAAAAAAAGGAAAGGAGAAGGAAATTGCAAAACTGAAACGACCCACAGCACTTAAGAAGGTAAACTAAAATCTGGGGATGTTTATTTTGTAGGATAAATAAGGTTTTAAGTCTCTTTTGCAAAAGTAGTTGTGGAATTTTGCCAGCAGAATATTGTGATATGTCTTTATGATGATTAGTTAATTCAGGGTTCGGAATATCATCAGCTTTATGACTACCTGTGTTGAACAGGCCCCGAAGAACAAATTCTTTCTATAAGTTTTAAGAAAAAATAGTTAAACACTTCATGTTCAGAAACATTGGATCCTAGTTACTAAAGCCCTGGATTCTAGTGCTGACTTCTTATTATGCACTTTTAGGCAGATTTGTCTTACTCATTATCTTCATCTTGTAAGTCAGGGATAATACATGCTTTATTTAGTTCAGTGTTGTTATTAGAAGGAGCACCATGAGATAATCCATTTCCAAATAAAAACTGTAAAATTTAAATCTAATGTAACTGTATGACCTAGTTTTCAAACTTTTATTTTATCACTTTTTGGGAAGCTCCAGTTTGTCAACCAGTATTTAAAGAATGAAGCACATGTGGTTTGACAGCTGTAGTATTGTATAGCAGCATTGCTTCCCTTTATTTTGGATATAGTGCTGTAGTGCCTAAAATAGCATTTATCATTTTGCCAGTCAGTTTCTACGAAGCTAACTGAACATGTAGTCAGCCAAATCTTCATACCCATTTGTAGGTATACCTTTTTAATATCTGTAATAGTGGAAATTTAAATTATTCAGTACATACTTAAAAGAATGATCACTAATTAAATACTGGTAATGACTTTTAGGTTATTTTGAAAGAAAGAGAGGAAAAGAAGGGCCGTTTAACTGTGGACCACAGCCTTTTGGCATCTGAGGAACCAGTAGAAATGCACTTAGATTTTATTGATGATTTGCCGCAAGAAATTGTTTCCCAGGAAGGTAAGGTCACCTCTTTTCCCCTTCTTCTCATGGAGAGGACCATTTAATTGATGGGTAAGATGGGTAAACCAGCACCTATAGTGCTTCTAATTAGAGGATGTACTCCATATTTTATGTAAATTTCTTTATTTTTAAGAGTGACTTCTTTCGAAGATGCTTCTGTAAGGAGATCCTTAAAAAAAGAGGGGACAGGTATTATAGAGTATGTCTGTGATACTTTTGAAGCTTATAGCCTGAATTTGTTGTAAATTCTCATAGTAATCTCACCAGTGCATAAGATCTCCTTTGTAATTGTTATGTTTCTTTTTATTATGCCGCATTTTATAGCCAGAATACTGTTGGCTATCTGCCTTTGCAGAACTATTTTTCTTTCCTTTTTTTTTTTAAAGATTTATTTATTTATGCATATAAGAGCCGGGGTATAGGCCAGAGATATGGGGGCTGAGAGGATTCACCAAAGACAGAGTGGGGATCAGAACAAGCAGACTGACCGAAATACAGAGGCTGCGAATTGCTTCATAGTGCGGTGCTTAACTCCTTGTGCCACCAGGGAGGCCCCACAGAACTATTTTTCATGGGGTTTTTTTGGTTGACTTTCTTTTTGCTTTCATAGAATTAATATATATGTCATGTTGAGTAAAGAATTGCAAAGCCTGTTGTAGTGTATAGTTGGTCAGTAAGATTCAGTTCTGTGCAATAGTCAGCACATGATTTTAGTTAGGACAGCAGCAAAACTAGATTCTTTCTCAGTTTTACATTGTTATGAAGGAAACATTTTAAGAGGAATTTGGCTAGATCCCTTTTTTCTGCTGTTATATATTCCCCAACTTTTTGCAAAAAAATCTGAATTAGACTTGCATATTAAGTAGAAGTGTTCTGTTGTATTTAGAAAAGTGAGATTATTTCTACGGATGGTTCGGCAAAAACATACTTGTTTTGGATTCCCCTTTACTCTCAATTAAATGTAATGCCTTTGTATTTTGGTGTATCATTCTATCCATTCAACAAATGTTAATTGGGCTCCTACTGTGTGTACGTCAATAACTGGGGCAGAGATGGAGAAGGTGGAAATGTAATTCTACAAAAATTTTAGAGTGATTGGGAGATAAGCATGTATATGTTAATGGACTGGATATATAAATATTAGCTGTAGCAGAAACTGAGGAAGGCAATTGAGCTACAAGATCGCATATGAAAATGCAGCAGTCTGAGTACAGAAGCATAGACCAAACAAAAGAGAAACTGGAGTAGTGCCTGGAGAATCAGAATTGGGATTGAGAGAATGTGCAAGGTAGAATTCATTACTGCTAGCAAGAATGAGAATTTTTTAGCAATAAAATAATGATTTCTAAAAAATAGCTAGAAAATACTTGGAGCTGGGTAATGTATTCTGGAAATAGGTACAGAAATTGTTTTTCAGTTTAAATTCTTAAGGAATACCTAATTTGGATACTTTGGCCTTCTCTCTTCTCTATGAAATCTTGTAGGCTTTGTTTGATTTTTAAAGTCTATCTTCTTATGCAATAGGAAGAGTTCATTTTTTTGTAGTGTGTAAGAAATGTTTGTGATGTGAGCAGTGCCCAACTTGTTAGCTTCTGGATAATTTGGAAGACTGCCATTCAAATTTAATGTTGATCAATATAAAACTTTTCAACATTCTAAATTCTTACCCACGTCTCCGCAGATACTGGACTAAGCATGCCCAGTGATACTTCACTCTCTCCAGCAAGTCAGAACTCTCCATACTGCATGACACCTGTGTCACAAGGCTCTCCGGCTAGTTCTGGGATTGGCAGTCCAATGGCATCTTCAACAATAACTAAAATCCACAGCAAAAGATTTAGAGAGTAAGTTTTAGTTCTACTCTCCTTATTGAGGTTGAATAGTTTTGAGTATCTTAGTTATCGTTCTGTATATAGTATTGCCATTATTGTTTTATGGGTTGAGCCAAGCAGACAAAACACCCAAGATCTTTTTAAGTTCCACTTTCAGATTTTAGCAGCTGGTTTCATCGTATTTAAAGCATTTGCCTTCTGTCAACTGTCAGTCTTCATGTGACTGTAACGTGACAGTAAATATATTCTCTTTTTATTAGCGTTTATACCCTGGAAATTTGGCTTCTTATATATAAAATGCTGTACTATGACATTTTCACTCCAAATGCTTTTACGTTTTTGTTTACATTATCTGCTCTTCAAAAAACATCTTGAACCATTTGATAACAAAATTCTAAGACCCTAGTATATGCATGAATCTATTACATAAAACTGTTTTTAAATAGATATTTGTAAGTTTTGAAATGCCTTTCTGTGAATAACCTTAAACTGATAGTTACTGCTTTGAAGGATTTTGGGATTTTTAATATTTGCATAACTCAATTAATTTCACCTTTAAAAATGACATGTGAAAGAATCCCAGGTGAAAGTACAGTCTGTGTGAATGTAAACCACATTTTTTTGTTCTGTTCCTTTTCTTTATAATCTCGGTTTTGAGCAAATACATCTTGCCTATATTTGGGGAGTTAATTAAATGTCAAGTAACAGATGTGGAGCAAATGAGACACTTGGAGAATAAAATGTTATGTATGTATGAAGTAACAGCTTCAAAGGAAAAAAGAATGAAGAAAGTTGCATATTTGATGTTGTATTCTTTTAATTGCATTCTTTAATTTTGCATAATTTTAACTATGATAGTCAATATTTCTTGGATCTGTCCATTTGTAGCTCGTTTTCTGAAGTGTTGTTACTTTACAGAAACACAAAAAAATTCCCAAAACAGACCTTTTTTTTTTTTTTCTTTTTTGCACTCAAGGATGTACTTAAATTTTTCCATTATATAATGTCATTTAGAAGTGAAAATGTGCTTGCCTAGTTATTTCTAGATTAGAAATTTCACCATTTCTCCCTGTTAAATATCTGCTTATGTTAGAGATAAGGGGATGAGAATTAGCAAAGTAGAATATATAAGAAGTCAGTAAACGTCAGTGACTTCCTCATCCTTGAAATTAAGGATAGGGGCCTCACAATCCTTTCTGGTTTTTGCATTAAAGCCATACATGATCTCAAAAAAGAGCTTCATTCAGTTGCTTTGCCTAGTACTAGGGCATGTGACTTTTACTTCAAGACTTCTTTGGTTTACTGTCAATTTGATTATTGAGTTCATCTTCCATAGCCACATAGTTCTAGAGCTAGAGGAACTGTTGAAGCCATTGTAATTATCTCTTTATTTTTTTTTTTTTTTTTTAATTTTCTAGAGGCATGTCTTATTTATTTATTTATTTATTATTTGTTTGTTTGTTTGGTTTATACATGCACTGGGTACAGTCAGAAGTGCGGGAGGGTGAGAGAATTCACCAGAGCCAGAGCGGGGAGCAGAGCGGGCAGAAGGACCGAAGTACACTGCTGAGGGGAGCAGCGGGCGACAGGAGAGGTCTGCTCGCCATGTGGGACCCTCCTCCCGTGGCCGGGGAGCAGCCGGGGATCGAACCGGCTGCAGAGGCTGCAGGCAGCTTCGCAACCCAGCGCTCAACCGCTGCGCCACCGGGGAGGCCCTATCTCTTTATTTTTATGGTTGAGGAAGCCGATGCCCAGAGTGTGGGGGGGTGAGTTTGTTGGTATCAGGGCTTTCAGTTCGCATATGTGAAATTATATTTCTTTTCTACTAGAAGTATCTTTAGTTTTTATTGGAATGAAATAGCTTTATGTTTTCTTACCAGAAGCTTTATACCAGTTATCATCTAATAGGAGGCTAACATTTGATTTATATCCTTAAAATTTAATGATTGGGCATTTGGATAGAGATTAATCTAGATTTTACATAAAAATCAATCTCTTGTAATTCAGAGGAATTTTTGTTTTCTAATTGAAAAATATAGGAGATCTTAAAGACTCGATTTTTTTTTCTTATGAAGCCTCTTGGATATATTTTTTTCCTAAAATAGTTTCATAATGCAGAAAAATAAATTCAGATGGACTGACCTATTTTTGGTTTCCTTTACAGATACTGTAATCAGGTTCTCTGTAAAGAGATTGATGAATGTGTGACTCTTCTTCTCCAAGAGCTTGTCAGTTTCCAGGAACGCATCTACCAAAAGGATCCTGTAAGAGCAAAAGCAAGGAGACGGCTGGTTATGGGTCTAAGGGAGGTTACCAAGCATATGAAGTTAAACAAGATTAAGTGTGTTATAATTTCTCCAAACTGTGAAAAAATCCAGTCAAAAGGTATGAACATTTTTCTTTTGAAATGTTTTGATAATTATTTAGCATAAATGTAGGCTATAAAGTAAACTTAATAGTGGAAGCCTTATCTTCCTTACCAGCGTTTAGCTATAGAACAAAATGTTGAGCATGAGGAAAGAAAATGAAATCTTTCACTCCTGTAGTTAACTAATTAAACTGAGATAGGATTGTAAAGAAAATCCCCATCTGTGAACACTGGTGAAGGATTTAAGTTGTCCCAAGTGTTCCTTCTGTTGTAATCAGAGTGGGGACTAGTAAGAGTGCATTTCTTCCTTTATTGGCCCTTTTCTCTCTCTCGCTCGCTCTCTTTTTTTTTTTAAGATTTATTTTATTTATAAATACAGGAGCTAGGGTGCAGGGCGTGGGCAGGGGATATGAGAGGATTCACCAGAGACAGAGTGGGGAGCAGAACAGGAGGATTGACTAAAATATACTGCTGAGGGGAGCAGCAGGCAAGACAGGAGAGCTCTGCTTTGCCATGTGGGTCACCTCCCTGGCCGGGGATCAAACACATGCTGCAGTGGCTGTCCATATCTTCATAGTGCTGAGATTTAACCTCTTGCGCCACCTGGGAGGCCCTGGCCCTTTTCTCTTAAAAAGAGTTAGAAAAATGATAAAACTCTCTTCTGCATATGTCAGGGATTTTGTCTTTAATAAACTAGCAGCTATATACACAGGTTCTTGGATGGTCAGCCGGCACACAAGTGTTTTTGTCTACGCAGTGCACCACCTTTATTTGTTCTTCCTGGAGGAGTCACCTTAGGTGATTGGAACAGACAGATGTGTTAAGTAGCAGTAATAGGGATATTCTCCACAGGGGAGAAATTACAATCAGTAATGTATAACCTATATTACTGTGAGATTGGGTAAACTTTAATTGCTTTTCAACAAATTTTATTGAATTGAAATTTGACTCTTACTATGTTCATCTCTGTGGAAAGATAAAAATATTGGCATTGAAGGAATTTCACATTTAATTTGGGAGAAAATATATCCATATTAGTACATATTCAAATAGGAAAATGTGTGGAATAGCTCAGGTGCCACAAACTTTCTTAGAATTCTTTGTTGCTGTGTTTTATTTATTTATTTTTAAAGATTTATTTATTTGTGCATACAAGAACTGGGGTACAGGCCAGAGGTTGAAGGGGTGAGAGGACTCACCAGTGACAGAATGGGGAACAGAACAGGCCGATTGACTGATACACACTGCTGAGGGGAGCAAGGGGCTAGTCAGGAGAGGTCTTCTGCACCATGTGGGCACCTCCCTAGCTGGGGATTGAACTCGTGCTGCAGTGGCTGAGCATAGCTTCATAGGTTGCATCTTAACCCCTTGCGCCACCAGGGAGGCCCTGTTGCTGTGTTTTATACTTTCATTATTGGCTGTTAAATTAGCTCCCATTAGGAAATAACTAAATTAAAATTCTGCATGTGTTGACTTTCTCAGGTGGTCTGGACGAGGCTCTCTATAATGTCATAGCCATGGCACGGGAACAAGAAATTCCTTTTGTGTTTGCCCTTGGGAGAAAAGCTCTAGGACGCTGTGTGAACAAGCTGGTTCCTGTTAGTGTAGTGGGTATCTTCAACTACTATGGTGCTGAGGTAAGACTTTAGAAAATACACTCCTTTACTCCCCACATATGCCCTCCAAATAGTACATCTTTCTGTTGACATATGCCTGTAAGATGTTTAAGTTGAAAAGAGGAGATGATCACTATTCAAGAATGAGTGGGAAATTATTGAGTATTACATTTTTAGTGATTTAATATTATATTTATATAAGTTAATCCTACAGCATTTTGAAACAATTTTAGCTCTCTTTCTGTTACAGTGTTTTTTTCCTTTTGGGTTCAACTGTGGACTACTCAGTAATTTATTTAACTACCAGGTAAAGATCACAGATAACTATAAAATGCAAAGTAATTTTATTCATACTATACATTGGTTATATTTTGTGCTTGTAGGAGTCAAAGACTCCTCCTTTAAGGGGCATTTTTCTTTAGAAAATCAAATTCCTAAGTACACACATTACCTTGGTCTTCCTCTCACAGTCTGTAAGCAGAAAGATTTGCCCATAGGAACTGATAATATGAAAGTTATTAATTTAAAGTAATGCTTCTTAACTCATCATTTTTATGAAGTTGATTTTAAAGTATTTTGTGATACCACTAAGAGACCATTTTCCCTCTTCCCAACTGTACAGTATTTTTACATATTTAAGTGTCATTCTTTTCCCATCCAGTCACTGTGTTGGCATACCTTCCACCCCCTATCTGTTCAGTTTCTCTTCCATCATCCTTAAAATTATCTATCTATGCACCTACTTTTTCTGAGTATATAATTAGTGTTTGGGCTCTTGCACTAGCCCATGCAGAACTTACCAGTATCAGGAATAGGATCAAGGTGAGGAAAAGTAGACATGCCTATTTCTAATTTTAATGATTTCTTACTAAATTATATGTGTATATATTGGGTTATTTGTACAGTATTATAATTATAAAATGCTTGTATTTTTTTATTTGAACATTGTTTTACTTGCCCTCTATTATTATTTTGAGGCAGTTAGTGTATCTCTTCAATTTTATCATTTTTTTTTATTTCCAACAGTGTCTATTTAATTTATAGTGTAAAATCAGTGTTAATTGCAAAACCGCATACCCATGTTCCTATTTTCTTTTTATTGATTTCACGAATGTATGGTAGTTAAGCAGTGCAAGCAGATACTTACGAGATCTCTTATGTGTAACTCATAGGAGTGTTTTTAACAGAATGCATTTTCAAAAATAAATACTGAATATAATTCTGATATTACTAGCACCCAACTCTCTTCAAACCTTAGCAGCAACTGTGTGTATGTGCTACTTTAGTTTTTTTTTTCCCCTAAAGATTTATTGATTTATACAAGAACTGGGGTATAGGTCAGAGGCACAGGAGGGTGACAGAATTCACCAGAAACAGAGCGGGGAGCAGAACAGGCAGACTGAGTGAAGACACTGCCGAGGGGGCAGCAGGTGAGGCAGGAGAGGTCTGCCATGCCATGTGGGTTTCTCCCTGGCCAGCCGGGAATCGAACACCGTGCTGCAGAGGCTGCGGACAGCTTCAAATTGTGGCGCTCAGCCCACTGCGCCTTAAGTGAGGCCTGGAAGGTTTCTTTATTAAAGATTTTATTTATTTATGCATATGAAAACTGGGATATAGACCAGAGGTGTGGGGAGTGAGAGGATTCACCAGAGACAGTCGGGAGCAGAACAGGCAGACTGACTGAAATACACTGCTGAGCGGAACGGTGCTTGAGACAGGAGAGGTCTGCTGTGTCATGTGGGTAGCTCCCTGGCCTGCCAGAGATCTAACTCGTGCTGCGGAGGCTGTGAATAGCTTCACAGTGCTATGCTTAACTCCTTGTGCCACAGGAGACCCCGTATATGCTACTTTAAACAATTTGAATTAAGCTATATAAAGCATGCTACTTATGTTTTTCCTTTTTAGTTTAATTGGTATCTTTTTCTTTGGACATCGTAATTATTTAGGCACATTGTCAATGCTGTGTTAATTTTGCCATTTTATTAACATGTATATACCCAATCACCTGCCATTTCCCCATGACTGCTAATTCTATTCTGGTTCATTTGTTTCACTGACAGAGGAATTATCAATTATTTAGCTCCACATTCTACTTCTAGGCTCTGTATTCTGTTTTCATAATTTTCCATTTTTCCAATATCTTCATTTTGTCTCTTTATAAATAGGGTGTCCTATTTTCATCACCTTTAATACCATCACAGCCTCTTTTTGGTTTTCTCTTTAAGTAATTCCAGCAAACAGCTTTGTAAGGAAACTTTTGGTTCCTAATGAGCCTGCTATCTTCTTCTACACCCTTGGACATTACCCTGCATACACTCGTTCCTTTAGGTCCTAACTCATACATGATTCCTCACTACTTCTCATCAAGCGTTGTACTTTTTCCTGTCTGTGTCTTTATTCATAGTTTTGCATGGTTGACTAAAAATGTTCTACCCCCACCACTCAAAATTGTACTTCTTTTCAAGGTCTTCACTAGATGTTATCTTACTTCATGAATTCCTTACTGATGCCCAGAAGTTAGAATTGATGTTTTTTTCAAAAGCCACTTTTTATATGTTGAGTCCTTCAGGATAATTGTGCTATAAGTTATAGCTATGTTCTGTCTTCTAGCTACATGAAAGTTTCCTTGAGGACAGAGCTACGTAAGTTGTCTTGTGCCAGATATTAAAGAGTACAGTAGTTAAATTGATAAACTCTTTAAGAACTTTTAATATCTCACTTTAGTGACTAGTATTGCATCAAGGAGTTTCCTCAAGACTTGTGAGAATTGAATAAGCAAACAAACAAAAAATTAGAGTATAGGGTTCTGTGGTTTGCACACCATTTAGATTTTTTGGTAGATTGAAGGTATATCTGATTCTGAAGCAAGGGATATTTATTGCTAGTAATAGGAATTAAAATTATAACAACAAAATGAACTAATGAAATCTTTCTTTTTAGAGTCTGTTTAATAAGTTAGTAGAACTCACTGAAGAAGCCAGGAAAGCTTATAAAGACATGGTGGCAGCAATGGAACAAGAACAGGCTGAGGAAGCCTTAAAGAATGTGAAAAAGGTGCCACACCACATGGGGCATTCTCGGAATCCCTCTGCAGCTAGCGCCATTTCTTTCTGCAGTGTTATTTCTGAACCCATCTCTGAAGTAAATGAAAAGGAATATGGTAAGTTGTTATATACCATTTTAAAAGGTAAATATGAATAATTTGATTAAAACCATTTTGAAAATTTCTTCTATACTTCCAAGTTTTAAAATCTTCTTAATTATTAAAATTTTGCTCCAAGTTTTACTTTAAAAAACAATGTCCATTAAATGTTAGAATATTTGGGGCTGGGACTTTGAGACCCAGAAGTTTAGACATGGTTCCAAAATCTCAAAGGGATTTAAAAAGCAAAATACACTATACATGTGACCTGTAATTTAAATACACCTTTAAAAAGCTTTATTGGGGTCTCCCTGGTGGCCTAGGAGTTGTCTCAGTGCTATCACTGCCACGGCACACTGTGGTGGCCTGAATTCAGTTCCTGACCAGGGAGCTGACACATATATAGCGCAGCAGACCTCTCCTATCTTGCTCACTGCTCCCCTTAGCAGTGTATTTCAGTAGATCCTCCTGGTCTACTCCCACTCTGTCTCTGGTGAATCCTCTCAGACCCTGAATCTCTGGCCTGCACCCCAGTCCTTCTACACACACACAAAAAAAAAAAAAAATCTAAAAAAATTTTGCTTTATTCTAATATTTTATGCTCTAATATTTTATTTTCTAAATAAATGAAAGTCCTAATACTGTTCAGGCTAAGCTTATAAAATATAGACATGACTTTTTTTTTTGTTAAATATGTTTCTTTTTTGTCAAAAAGAAACAGACTAAAAAACATTAATTATGTGTAATGTGTAAAGTAACTTTATTCACTACACTCTACATCTTAGTATTTGGATTGCCTTGTTTCTATTATAATTTGAACTTTTAAGTTCTCTACTTTTTTCATCTAGTTTCTGGTTTGTTGTGTTCTTTTTTGTCTTTTTAAATAGTGTAGGCAGTTCCTTCAGCTTGGCTCTTCTTTGTCTTCTTTTTCCTTCTGAATCTGTTTGGGAGTTTACCAAATAAATAGCTTGTTGTCCCTTAAATAAAATGTGTAGAAAACTGAGTACTCATTTTCTTTATTCTCACACTCCCTGGTTTTCCTATCCATCATTGTAGCTATATGTTTGGATTGTTTTTAACAGAGCTCCAGACCAGAGGTAATTGAGAGGTTATTGTGGGCCTTTAGAAAACTGTTGGTCAAGATAGATAAGCACTTAGTTAGCATAGCTGGAGTGATAGTAGTTGAAAATAGACATTAAAGAGAAAATACCAACTTTGTAAATTAGATCAGTTCTCTCTGTAGTGAAATGCCATCTTCTCAAAAGCAAACTGTAAGATAAATTAATAAGACTGTGGGTTTGGACAAATAATAGTGATCTTTGTAAGAACATATAAAATGAAAAGATCCTCTTAAAGATAGGAGGTGTATTCAAAAAGCACCAGATTTAAAGTGTTAAAATATTAAAGCCTATGCATTTTTCATATTCTTCCTGGGACATATAGGTATAATTAATTATTTTTGGTTCCTCAGACTTCTCTTTAGTGAAATGGAGAGGATTCATTTAGGTCGTCTAAAAAGTATCTTTCAAAGGTAAAATTATGTGAGCTAATGTTTATTCCTAAGGAGGGATTCAGACAGAACTTAAAGATCCTGATCTCCTGAACACATTGATCAGAAAGCCAGCGAAATGAGTGCTGATGATCATCAGTAACATTGAGAATGAAAGAGGGTTTTTCTATTTGTGTCAGATGTATTCGGCCTGTACCAGTTCTTAGGCCACAAACATCAAACCCACTAATGCGGTTAAAGAAATTAGTATATTTATTTCACAATGTTATCTAGTTCTTAGATCTTTTTCTTTCTGTTTTCCCATTCCAAGCATGTGACTTCTTCTTGTGCTTATCATCTCATGTTTGTAAGTAGCTGCTGCAGCTCTCTGCACATCACAGTTAGTCAGAAGCGGGTGTTCAGGCTGTGTGCAGCTGTTATCAGTGAAAGAAACAATTTTCAAAAGACTATCCTTTTTGTTTCATTTATCCAGATCACATTACTACTCCTTGCTGCAATGAAAATTTGGGCAAGAGAATATTTGGCAAAGAGGATAGCCATGATAGTTGAAAAACTATCCCTTGAAATAGGGTTCAAGTCCATCCCAAGTTTGGGGGGCCTTTTAAACCTGGAAGAAAATGGGGAAGGACTGTTGGTTAACAGTGTCTTCATGCGAGCCTAGGATGCAGAATTTCTAAAATGTTTCCTTTAGATTTCCACAGTTTAATGAAAAAGCAAGACTAGGAAGGGGATGCTAATCGTTAATAGAAAGACCCCATTGTGTACACACTGTTTTCGTAGCGTGTTTTCCTTCCGCCTGAGCTGTATCTCAATTCTGTCATGCTTACATAAAATAAATAGTTTGAAACATAAATCTCAACTAAACTGTAAGACTAGGGATTTGACACATAATGGGTACATGAGGATTGTATAGCATGTGTGTTCAGTACCACTTACAAGGGAGGATAACCTCAATGTCTAGTCCATCCATCTTGGGTTTCCAGCTCATTCTCTGCTGTCTCCCTTCCTCTCTAGGTTCTTAAACTCATTTGTTTGTTCCTCCGCTATTTCCAACTAGCTATACAACTATAATATATACACAACTTCCCCATTGTGTACTGGTTGAAGGGAAAAATACACACCTCATCCTCTTGCCAAAAATACTAGTTTTGAAAGTTAAAAAAGCAGTTTAACAGGCAACCACTAAATAAAACAGGAAAACATAAAGGGTAGGTTAAAAAGCCAAGAACTTTATTGAGTAAGTTCTGCTTAAAAATAAATAGAGGCCCAGGTAGGTTTGAATCAGTATCATTTGCAGGCTTGTTGAGATCTTTGACATTTTTGTACCTGCTGTTTTTCTTGACATGTTGATATGTTTGTGTGCATATCATCTGTTGATTAAGCTTAACCTATTACTTTGAGATAGGAGCCTATTACTTTGAGATAGGAGCACCCCTGTATATAGATACCTGACCTCAGTGGCTCTTTCATCATTGTGACAAGTCTCTCGATGTCTAATCACAGATTCCTTGTCTCTGCTTCCAAGGTTATACCTCCTTTTCATTCTGGAGGACTCTTGGCTTTACCTCACCCACTGAGTGGGTGTCTGAAGGAAAGATGAGTAGGAGTCTGAAGAGGAAAGTAGGAAAATATATTTCATACAGAAGGAGCAATTTGCAACAAAGGAAGGGATTGTAAACAGAAAGGGTGTGACTTCTGGAAGAAGTGAGAATTCAGAGTAACCTCGAACATGGAATGATGGCTGGGGGTGGAAATGAATGGGACCAGAAAGATCGATAAGGGTCAACTTTATAGTGGGGAAATCTGATTAATAATAATCATTTTAATCAAAAGTTAACATCCCTAGAACTGGGGCAAATTAGCATCATGTGCTTTCTGATATGTCATACTTAGAAAAATATGGCATAACTTTTGTGTAATTCTACCCGGAAAGCACAACCAGAATCTGATTATGAAGAGACGTCAGAGAAACCCAGATTAATTCTGAAAAATAATTGGCCTGCAATCTTTAAAAATTTGCTAGGTCTCAGAAGTCAAAGACAGACTGAAGAATTATTTCATTCAAAGAGATTAAGGAGATAGGATAATTAAATGCATTACAGAATTCTAGATTGGATCTTGTACCAGAAGGAGGACATTATTAGGATAACAGAAATTGAATGGGTTCTCATAGATAATAAGTTTCTATTAATTTCCCAACTTAGTGGTATTATTTGTAGGAACATGTGGATGGAAAATATATGGGAATTGTTGTATATTCTTCTGTCTCTGTACCTGTGAGACTGCTTAAAAATGAAAAGTAAAAACAAGCAAGAAAGACAGAATCAATGCTTCTGTTAGGTTTTTTGTGCTTCAAGGCTGTGAAAATGATGACATTATTAACTGAGAATAAAAATACAGGAGGGAGAGTAGATTTTTTTCCCCATGAGGATTGAAATGAGAGTTCTACACCTGAAGTACCTATAGGAGAGGTTTTTCCAACCATGTCCCCGGACTGAAGATACCCAAAATATTGGTCTGTTTCAATATGGAATTGATAAGTAATAATTAATTTGAACATATTATTAATAGGCTTGTTTTATCATTACAACTGGATCATTATATCTTATGAATTATAAATAGCAGCTGTAATGCAAACAGAAGGGTATTCTAATTTTAAAAAATTAGAGAAATTAGGGGCCTCCCTGGTGGCGCAGCGGTTGAGCGCTGGGTTGCGAAGCTGCCCGCGGCCTCTGCGGTGCCGGTTCGATTCCCGGCTGCTCCCGGCCACCAGAGGAGGGTCCCACATGGCGCGCAGACCTCTCCTGCCGCCCGCTGCTCCCCTCAGCAGTGTACTTGGGTCCTTCTGCCTGCTCTGCTCCCCGCTCTGACTCTGGTGAATTCTCTCACCCTCCCGCGCTTCTGACTGTACCCAGTGCATGTATAAACAAAACAATCAAACAAACAAATAAATAAAAATCATAAATAAATAAAAATACATGCCTCTTAAAAAAATAAAAATAAAAATAAAATGTTTTTTTTAAAAAATGAGAGAAATTAGAGGAGTAGGAGAGTTCTTCTGTGTCTCCTGATTCCTCTGACTTGTCAGTAAAAATGGTTTAGACTATCACCACTGTATTATACAATAACACTTTTTTTTTGCCCTACCCCGTGTGCCTAAGTTCTTGTGCAAATTAACTCCCCTTCTTCCCTTTTGTTCTCTCTCTGGCAGTTGGCAAAAACAAGTGCCTTGTAAAAGGTGGCTTAAAGGGAGCCAATAAGAAAGTAGTTGCTCTGTTTCCTAAGAAAGACTGTGGTGATGTGAATACAGCAACAATGTTCAGTATAAAAAATGCTGGGAAAACGCTAGTCACGAGAATTCACGAAACAAGCACCACATTTGATGGCTTTAAGGGTCATGTTTTTGAAGTGAACCTTGCTGATCTATAGGATGACATTGCATTTAGAAAATTCACTGTCATCACTGAGGATAATCAGGCCAAAAACTGCCTAACCTCCATGGTATGAATCTTACCCATGGTCAAATGGTGCTTCCATGTTCAGAAAATGGCAGAGCATGATCAAAGCACATGTGGACATCAAGACTACCTATGTTTATTTGCTTTGTCTGTTCTCTGTTGGTTTTGCTAACGAACGCAACAATCAGATTAGGAAGACCTTTTACATTCAACGACACGTCCACCAAATTCAGAAGATGATGGAAATCATGATCTGGAAGGTACAAAGTTCTTGAAGGAGATGATCAAAAAATGGATTCCAGAGAGCATTGAGAAAAACAGAGAAAAGATTTGCCAGTTTATTTACCCATCATGATGTGTTTGTTAGGAAAGTATAAATGCCAAAAAAATCCTTGTTTGGGAAAAGGTCATGGAGCTGCGTATTACAGTAGTAGTTGTGGAAAAGCTACTGGGGATGAAACTCGTGTAAAAGATGAACAAGCTGATGGCTCTGAACCAGCAGCTCAAGAATCTGTTTACAACTCAGATGTTTAATGGTGACAGATTAGTCTTGTCATGTTTATATCTGAACATTCTTTTAAAATAAGTTGGTGAACCAGAAGTTCTAATTTAATATTAATGTAAACTTTCTGACCTATTGTTTGGATTTTATCCATTGCTCTTAGTGTCACTAAGCAGTTGAGAAAGGATAGTGATCTGATAGTCTTGTAGATGGTTGTAAAAGGACATACTTTCTTTAAAAACCGTAACAACAGTAGCACTTCTTTTCATTTTGGCTTCCAGTGTCACTTGGTAGCCACAAACATACTGTAAAATACACTGTCACAGATTTGTTCATGTGTTTCACAAATATGTACTAGAAGTACATGCTTGGCTTCTCTGCTTCCAAATGGAAACAAAAGCCCAGCACACGTCAAAAGACAGCACCTAGATAATGTGCTGAGGGAGCATGCTACAAACCTGTTAAATCAGAAGTATTTCTGCTGGACGTCTTGCCTCTGCCACCTGCGACTATGCCTCTTAGAGCCCAGTATACCTCTAGGTCAGAAGAAACTGTGAGGCAGTTCATTGATTTTTCTTGAATATATGAATTTTATGCGACTCTCAATAGTTCCTGTTGATGTAAGATCTTTTGCATTCTGAAACATTGGTATACTACTTTCTGCCTTCTTCCTTTTCCTAAACGCACATTTTTTAGTTTTTTTCCTTAAAACATTTCAACTTCTTTTAGAATAGACTGTTTTCAGTTTTCCCAATCAGTTGGTGAGTCAACAAATTTTTGTTCTTTTAAGAGTTCATTGATTCTAAAACAATCTTCTAGTTTTTTAAAAATCTCTTTGGTATTTGCAGAAACAAATTGGAGAAACATGGTGGAAACTTCAGATGGACTGGAAACATCAGAAAATGAGAGAGAGACTTCCTATAAGGACAACACATCTGATAAGCCCAGTAAACCTCCGTTTGACACGGCCCCTGTTGGTAAGCAGCCATTATTAGTGACTGCAGGCAGTACTACCTCAGCTACAAACCCTGGGAAGTCCACAGCAAGTGATAAAGAGGAAGCAAAGCCAGATGACCTGGAATGGGCTTCACAACAAAGTACTGAGACAGGCTCTTTGGATGGCAGTTGCCGAGATCTTCTGAATTCCTCCATCACCAGCACCACCAGCACTCTTGTGCCTGGCATGCTTGAAGAGGAGGATGATGAAGAGGAGGAGGAGGAGGAAGACTATACTCATGAACCCATATCCGTAGAAGTTCAGCTCAATAGTAGAATTGAGTCTTGGGTCTCAGAGACCCAGAGAACGATGGAAACTCTTCAGCTTGGGAAAACCCTTAATGGTTCTGAGGAAGACAATGCAGAGCAAAGTGGGGAAGAGGAAGCAGAGGCGCCTGAGGTTCTCGAGCCAGGGGTGGAAGGTGAGGCCTGGACTACTGACCACCAAGCAAGTCCAGAACAGCAGAAGCCCAGCATCTGCAGCTTGCAGAGCAGTGAGCGCTCTGACCCTAATCATGTGCCCCCAAATCTATAACTCAGGACATGTCAGCTCTCTATCTCTGACCGTGTAAGGGTTGCAGCCATTCTCTTTTATGCTTCATCTCAACATTTTGCACTGTCCAGTATTTAATACATGTGTTTAATTCCTGACAAAAATAGTTTTGTAACTGTTCTTGCCTTGTTTTGTTATGATCTCTAGCTTAGCTTTTATTTAGCATCTAAGTGTATTTCTAAAACTGTGGAAAATTCAGAATTGTTTGAGCTTATTTTGTAATGGAAAATGGTTTAAAAAAAAAAAAGACGACCTTTTTTTAAAGAAAATAAATTTATTTAGTCATTTTGGAAGTTAAAAGTCAAGGTCCTAAGCAGTAGGGACATTTACCAATATCTGCTTCAAGACTATACCTCCTTCGCTCTAATTCGTCTGACCAAAATGTTGTTTGGGCTTCTTGAAAAAAAGAATCATAGGGAGAGTTTGAGAACTAAGTTAAAGACTGAAGGTAAAGCTAAGTCCACAAAGTGTTTCGTGTTCAGATGATGCAACTTTGATTTTATTTCAGAAGTCACTGATCATTGTAATCAGTTCGGATGTGCTAAAACAAAACCTCCCAAACGTAGGCTAGCAAGGAAGCCACCATTGATAGACTAGGGCTAGCCTGATTTGTGAGACATGATAGCTACTGTCCTCAATACTGAAAATTCACCCATTATAGGACCTTCCAGATTTACTCATATTTGCTTATTACTTACCTCAGGAATGCTCTTATACATAATCATATTTACAGAAAGTCAGGCAAATTTTGACAGGTTTATAACTGTAGTAGATTGTATGAGTGTAACACTTAGTGTTACCCTGAAACACAGTCTTCTACTGGTGTGTTCTCTTGCATGCTTCTGGTTTGGGTCGCTCTTGATTTGAGATATGCACTTGAGTGGGCATCCAAGGTTGCCTTGAGTGAGAAACTTATGTTTTTAAATTTTTTGGTAATTTTTTAAAATTACTTTTTAAAAATTATGTTTTGCTCCTTGTCTTGAGCGCCTTCCACACAACACCAACCATAGTTACTAATAGGAGGAGGTCAGGGAACTCGACACAACTTAAAATATATCTCCTGATAATCAAGGTTTGGACGAGGAGTTTTGAAGAAAAGAGAAATTTGTTCTAATTGTGCAGAAACTATTAGATGTTTTAGAGTAGGCACATAAGTGCAGGTATTAATTCTCGATAACTGTTACTTGTCTCGGCCTTTCCCTAGGAATGTGTATACCTGCTTGGGAGAAATTAAACTTATGGAAGCTGAATATTTCTTTGTTCTTCAGTCACCACCTGGTCGTGACATCTACAAGTCTAGGTAATAGTGGGGGAGTTGCACATTACCCGTTTTTCTGTCTTCCCTCAACCTCCCCCGTCTCCCCCAACTAACCAACACACACATACACACATCAGCGTTCTACTTTGCATTACAAGCTCCCATGGCAGGCACGGAACCTAGGGAGGAAGGGCACTTTCTCTGCTCTGGTTTTCTGAGTAGGGCTTTGCCTCGTAGAGGTAGGAGAGAATCGGGCAGATTCTTCACTGAATTCGTTTGTACTACTGTGCCAGTTTTTATATTTTATGATGTTGGCATTTCATTACTGGAGTGGTAAGATTCTTGGTTGATGATTTTGTATTTATGAGTAACGAAAGTTGAGGAGCATTGCTGTGTAGGAAATGGCAGTCTGTCAGCTATTAGTGTGCTAAAAGGGGGGAGTTACTCTACTGTCCTAAGCTGTTCTCCAGTATAGACATCTTAGGCACTGAGTATCCAGTACTTAAGTGAACACAGCATGTGAGGAATGAAGCCTCTGAAATAGTAATCATGGATTTTTATGTGGCAGATCTTACTGTCTCTACACATTTGGAAGTGTTACTTTGGTTTAAAGAAATGATAGAGGTCTTGAACTACTGACAATCTCAAAAGTGAATTTTAAAACTTTTCATACTTTTTATGGTGTAAATGTTCTTTGTTAGTGTCAGTGATTCAGGTAACTCTTGATCTTGAGGTTTCCAAGGCCTCTTGTATTTTATATCTCTTCTGAACGAGAGTTGTCATTGTAGATTTTTGACATTTGTATCAAAGAAGTTGAGGAAATCTTCAGAACACTAATAACTCATAATTTTGCTATAGACTTTAGAAATGTTGAATTATGTTCTATAATTGCTCTTGCACATGCAGTATCTTCTGCCAGCAAACCCAAGGGACCACAGCCTTTTGTGTATGAGACAGGTCACCTCTGGTGGACAACACAAAATTTATTAAAGGAAATGCTACTATGGTGAAAAGATGCTTAAAGAGGTATTAATGTTTTTACAATTTGTTTCCTTTAGATAAATTCTGGAATTTGTATTACATGCAGGAGTAGGTGTAAAAATTAGGAAAGTGGATTTTTTTGGACCTGGGGGTGGGTGACTCTTTGGAGGCCTAGAAAGAGTTCCATGGGTAAGATTAGGGGTTCACCATCATGACAAATAAAAACCATAGTGATTTTTTCTTAGTGTGTAGAGGTTGTTTTACTGGCAATAATTCATACTAGATTTCTATTTCAATACATAAGTATATAAATTACAATATGAATTGCACTCCTAAAAGTAGATTTCTGCTTTAGTAAGTTTGTTTGCTGTGAAGATTACTACTCAAAAGACACAATGTTCATATTAGCTTAACTTTTGTTTTAAATTTGTTTGTAAATGATGTATTATATTTCTTTTGACTAAACATGGGAAAAATAATATGTGTTATACATTGAAAAGTTTTTAAAGGCTTTGACTGGAGGTCATTTTTGCAGAGATGGTATTTTATATGCTTCCAGTATTTGGAAAAGAATTAGTCAAAAGGAATTCATATAGTTTAAATATTGAGAAATTAATATCCAAATAATGTACTTGTCTGATTTCTTAATAAGCTGGGGGAAGTAATATGTGGGAGGGGTGGGAATTGTAATGTGCAAATAAGTAGTGAACTCTGTGTTCATTTTTCAACTCTTTAACATAAAACTTTAACACACTGTTACTTTAATATATGTATAAAGAAGTATTACTTTGTAAAGCCACTGTTTCCTTTAAGCCTGTCATTGAAGTATTTTCTGTACATTGTGCCAACCGTTTAGAACATTAACTTATTCACTGAAAAACTTAATTATCATTTTTATTTGATTTAAATTTTTTTCTGTGAAATAATTTATTACAGACATCTTCCTTCTCTTGCCCCGTCCAATCTTTATATACATCACAGAATCAACCAAACTGTTTACCTGACCTGAAATCTGAATCCTAATTAATGATACAAATTTAAACGTCGTTGGCACATCACACCTTAAAAGTATTTGTATTATTTTGTAATTTAATTTCTAAATATACCACATGAATTTATAATTTAATGTCTTAATTGTAATGCTCTAATAAAACTAGCAAAATTAGTATGAATTACAACATGAAGGGATTTTTATCTTGTTTTGCTGTATGAAGGATAATTGTTACATCATATTTTAGGGGTAATAACAGCTTTTTGCACTATGTAAATAATAGTGGAAATTCTTCTGTAACTAATAAAATGGTTATTAAAATGTAGTCTATCATTTCAGCATAGATACTTAAGGAATACATAATTTGCCCAGTAAGTGGGATACAGAAAAAGTTAAGCTTGTGATATTGCTTAGTGCGCTCATGGTGACCAAAGAAGGCTGTAAAATATGTAGGGAGGAGTTACTAATAAAAATGTCCACCTGGGCTGGATGGTGTCATCTCTGGCATGGGCGTGGACCTCTAGCCAGGCCCTCCTGGTAGGCTCCTCCAAGTTCCTTTCTGTGCTAGTCAGTCTGCCAGGCCTCTGGTAAGCCATTACCAGTATTAACTCATTTACTCCCACCACAACCTGGTGAGGAAGAATTACTGCTATTGCTATTTCTCTCTTTTTAGAAAAAATAGTCTGGTAAATGACAGAGCTGAAATTCAAACTCCATCCCATTTATGTTTTTGATAGTACTCTTTGTGTCTCAGCGCAAAATGTCCAGACTATGCAAACCAGTCAGTGCTTCCCTCACTTCAGGTGTCTTCTGGAATAGGAAGTGCCCGAGGACTGAACTGATTGCCTAAAGACTGATTTTCAGCCTCATCTGATCATTCCTTACGTAGTCCCAGGCTTGGTCACTGTGAAATGTAGGGAATCTCATAAAAGTAGATTTGTCTTTTAGAAAATGGTGGGATCCTAATTTTCATAATGAAAAGTTTTAGGTGATCACAAAGAAAAAGGACGGAAAACTAAATCACTTGAATCAGCAGATTAACTTTTTGTGTTTTTTTTTTTTTTACTATTGTTTGTACCGCTCCCAATAGAATTTTTTCTAACAGTGGCCAGTTTTTCTTCTAACTGACCAGAAGAGGGTGTACATGGCACCTGAAAACAGTCAAAGGCTACCATGTGATAATTTTTTTTTTTTAAATGGGGAGATGGAAAGTATTGTGAATTATGGGCCTTGCCAAAAAAGGCTCTTCCTTTTGAGTTTAAACTTGAACTCAGGAACCATACCTGTAGGTATCAATTTCATTTTATTTTTTTAAAGATTTATTTATTCATACACACAAGAACTGAGATACAGGTCAGAAGCGCGGGAGGGTAAGAGAATTCACCTGAGACAGATCGGGGAACAGAACAGGCAGATTGAGTGAAATACACTGCTGAGGGGAGCAGCGGGCATGACAGGAGAAGTCTGCCACGCCATATGGGATTCTCTCTGGCCAGGATCGAACCCGCGCTGCAGAGGCTGCGGACAGCTTCACAGCACTGCGCTGAACCGCCTGCGCCACCAAGGGAAGCCCTCAATTTCATTTTAGAAATCGAATAACAAAAGAATTGCATTGAATTAAGCAGGTAAGTCATTGCAACTTTCTAAATAATTTTAGCAATTCAATTAATGTTTTAGCTTGATTGGTTCTCCTGGTGTTAAAGTCTCTGAAGTATGACACCTTTATGAGTAAGACATTATATAATACACATTTGTGTATAGTACACATCAGAGGCAGCCTTGTGGCTTGCAGGACCAAAGCATGCTCCATTGGAACTCACACAATGCATAGTTTAGGAAAATGGGAGAATTTCTGTTCTGGACCC